TATTGTATTATTATTTATGATGTATACTGTTTTGTGTTAGGATACATAATATCATTTTGAAATTGCATTTAGAATATTTTTATTTGAATTAATTATAAAATATTTAACAATTCTTTCCATAATACTGAAAACTCTTATATCTATTATTCCTTATATTTTATGCTTTTTAGCCCCCCTAAAACTTCAACTAATCTGGTATCTTGTATTTTCTAAATTAAATTCAATAAAGAATTTTTGTAGTTTTCAATTACTTCAAAATTATCTACTTATATGCTTTTTGTAGATATAGATGTCATTTAGTTACCATTTTAAAAAATATTGTTAGATGTATTTGTCTCTATCTATAATCCGTCTTTTTTAGTATATTTTTTTATTAATTCATTCCTTTATTAAGGTTGAATTTATTTTTAATGCATTTTTTTTATTCTTTAAATCTATTTTTTTTATATTTTTTTATGCTTTTTTATTTTTTTTAGTTATTTATTATTATAAAAACAAAAATTAAAAGAAATAAATGTTTATCTTTTTTTAATTAATTATCTATTTATATATAATTATTTTAAATTTATATAAATTATATTTTTAATTTTCATTTTTTCAATAATTACTTTTTCTATAGGAACTTTTTTATCAATTAATTTAAGATAGTTATTATTTAAGTTAATTCAGTTTATCTTAGTAGTTAACTTATAAAAATGATAAAATACCAAAACTAGTAAACAACAATAGTGAATTAATAATTTTAATTTCAAGTAAATTTAGGCGAGTCTCGGTCACTAACGGATTTATAACCAAGCATTAATATATCTTAAATTATATTAACAATATTTATTTATTATATATAATTTTACATAATTATATTGCAGAATAAACAACAAATGGATAAAAACTAGGTGCTTATTAAATATAAACTAAAATAACCCATATTAATTTAAGCTACGAAAACAGGTAAACATTCTAAAAATTTAAAATATATGTATATAAATAAAATTATATAATTAAATTTAATAAATAATACGATATAAAAATGAGTATCCATAATAAGATTTTGTTAAAACATTAAAATCGTTTATTTTGCATTACAAAGTTTCAAATCCCCAATGAACTCCACACTTTTTTTATAAGGTAAATAATAAAAAAATTAGTTTATTTTTTTAAAATATATATATATAAATATATATAATTTATATATATATATTTATATATATATTTATATATATATTTATATTTTTATTACTTATAAAGACTAATGCATAGCTATATATTTTACTAATAAATTTTAATATAAAATATATTCTTACGGAATTAACGATGTATACATAAAATAATATAATTAACCAGAACCTAAAAGAATAGGTAATGTTAATACTCCTGTATAAATAAAAGCTTGTAAAGATATTTTATTTATAGCTAACATTTCTCTGTTTACTTCTATTTTTTTTAATTTAGCTGATTATAGTAATTCTTTTGTTATTTAATGGGTTTATTTTTCTTCTTATATTTATTACTACAATTTTTCATATTATTCCATTAAATTTTTTTTATCTTATAATCTTTTTTATTTATTTGTTATATTTTAGATGAATTAATAACTGATTTTTTATGGAAATCTTTTAAGTGATTTAATTATCATTTTTTTTTTTAATTGTTTATAATATCTTTTTCTAAATATTTTATTATTTTAAATTAATTTTTAATTTAATAAGAATTAATATAACAATTTTAATTTTATTATTAAGGAAAATTTAATTGGAAATAATTTTTTTTATTCATAATAATAAAATAAAGTTATAGTATATAATAAAATCATTTGATAGTTAACTTTTTAAATATAAATAGTTTTATTAACAAAATACATCATTAAAGTTTTTCAGATATTTTTATTAAAATTTGATAAAATTAAATATTCTAACTAATTATTTAATTCAATTATATTTATTGTTTAAAAAATAAAATAATTTATTTAAAAATACATAATTTTATAATTAAAAATAATTTTTCATATAATATACAAATACATAAAAAATAATTAAAACTTATTAACTTAATATAATATATATATATATATATATATATATACAATTTTATGGCTTAAATTTTGATAGAAACATATTAATTTACCTTCTTATTCAGAATTAGATGAAAATTTAGACTAAGCAATTTTTTCATACATTTGATAAATAGAAATAAAAAATAATATACAGCCTCATCCTCATCTACCTATATTATATTGCATGCTTAAGTTTTTGGTGCAGTATATTCTTCGGTTGCAGCATATTTTCGTCCGCTTTTTGTTGAACTCGATCCTATTCTTCAGCTTTAATATCGTATACCATCTATTATTATATTTAAAATAAGCATTAATCTTTCCAAATCGTATATCAGAAATTATTTTTTAGTTTATAAATTAACTTTAAATAAAAATAGTTTCAATATGTATGTATTATTATATTAGTACTTAATTATTTTTATTGTTGTATATAAATGAATTATTATTGTATAATTTTAATTTAAGATTTAAATTGTTAATTAATATATGAAAAGTATTTTAAATTAATATAGTTAAAATATAATAGAAACAAAAATAATAATTATTATAAAAATAAAATATATAAATTTTTTACATAATAAAAAAAAAATGAATATATTATAAAAATATAATAAAGATTACAATTTTATAAACCATAATATATTAGTTTAAAGTATTTATTATATTTATTTTTATTATTAATGAATTATATATATTAATATTTTAATACATATAAAATAATTATTTCATACTAATTTTATATTATATTTAATTTAATATTTATAAAATAATTTTCTATAGAATTATTTACTATATTTATGTATTTAATATAATTTAAAATAAAAGAAAATATTAAAAAGATTTAAAAATAAATATAATTAGAAAATAAATAATATAATATAAATTTAAAAATAAAATAAAAAAAATAATAATTAAATATAAAAAAATAATTAATTAAAAATATAAAATAAATTTTTTTAATATAATACAAAATTATAAAAATATATATCTAAAATAATAATATGTCTAATTTATTAAAAATATAGTTAATATATTAATTTCTATTTTTTTTAATTTTATTCTCTATATAAAATTTTAATTTATTATTATATAAATATATATATATATTAATTTTATATAATTTATAAAACTTTATATATATATATTTATTTATATAAAAAAAAAATTATTATATATTTTTTGTATAAATAAATATTCACTTTTAAAAATTTAATTCATTTAATTCTTAAATAATTTAATAATAATCATTTATATTTATGTTAAATTATTCAATTAATTTTATTAAAATTTTATAAATAATATTTATTTAATTGAATTAAAATTAATTTTTAATTTTCATTATGCAAATTTTATAAAGCTAAAAGTTTTTTATTTTCTTTGAAAAAAAAAAAATATTTAAAAATTATTGATTATTATTTAACGTATATTATTAATAAAAATTTAATAAAATTAATTAATAATATAAAAATTTAAAGTTTTCAAAAAATAATTAGAATAAATATTATTTTTATTTATGATTAATTTAATAATAAAATAAATAATTAAAGAAAGAAAGAAAACGAATTTACTAATAATATACATATATATATATAAATAATTTAAAAATCAAAAAAAATGGATATTAAAAAATAATCTATTATGCAGAGAAACCAATGCAAAATAGCTCCAATATAAAACAAAGATATAGGAAATCAAATAAAAAGCTTAACAAAAGAATAAAAAAAGAGCAATAATTTACTTAGGCAAATATATAATTAAAGTTTAAAAAATTAAATTTAGAATAACAATTAATTGAATAAATTATTAAAGTTTTTAAACGAATATAAAAATGAGAAATAACAATTTATAAAAATTAAGCCTGTTAAAAAGAAAAAAAGGAAACATTAATATTCGAATTCATATTAAAACTAAAATATATGCGAAAGTTAGTTAATTACTCCGACTTACTAATAAACAAATTTTTTTAAAACACATGAATAAATAAATGGGTAAATTAAAAAATTATTTATAAATGATAAAGTAAAAATAAATAAAGAAATTATAAAAAAATACTTTGGAACAATATAAATATAAGATCACTATATATAAAAAAGAAACAAAAAAAAATTTAAGAAATTAAAAGTGTGTAAAAAAACATTTTTTAGCATAAAAAAATAACACTAAATCATAAATTTTACATTTATTGAAATCATAATCTACAAAATAAACTAGCCATTGTATTAAATAAACATTAGATGATAAAGGTGATCTCTTTAAATCTAATAATAATAATAATAACTTAAATATATATTTAGGGGACGATTAGTTTTTTTTCTCGCCTAAACATACGAAATCTTAGCCTTTAAGTTGCAATAAATAATAAAATAATAATTATATCTAAAAATATATTTAAGAAAAAAATTTTAGCAAACAAAATGAAATAAAGTATTGTTCCACTAGAGATTGTTCTTAATTTTGGTCTAAAGTTAATAGGGGTGATTTATTTTAAATAATTAAAAGAAGTAGAAAAATTCTAAGTGCTTATTCATAATAAAAAAGTTAATGGATTTAAGAAAAATAAATGCTTTAAAAAGAAGCTAATTTATTAAAGTAAAAAATTGAATATTACGAGCATAATTAATGAAATAATAAAAATTAATTTAATTTTCTATTAATATAATTGATTATATTCTTTATATTTTATTATTTTTATTTTTTAATAAAAAATAAAATAAATTGAATTTTTTATTTTTTTAATTTAAAATTAAATATTTTTATTTATTTAATCTTTAATTAAATAATTTATATATTTTTATTTTAATCCAATTATTTATCTTAACAATATAATTTTTTATTAAAATTAAATTTATCAATTTATAACAAAAAATATCATTTATTAAAACAAATAATTTATTATTTAGATTACTTTATAATTAAATAACAAATATTTAATACAAACAAACAAAAATACTCATTAAGCTTATAAAATTTTAGCCTTTTTTTTTTCCATTCCTTCCATAACAATTTCCTTTAATTTATTATGAGATAGTAATTCTTTATTAATATCAATATTAATAAATTCATCTAAATTAAGTTCATTATTTAGATCTTTTTTTTTATTATTTTTTGAATCCTTAATACTCATTTACTCAATATGTAAACTTTTATTAATATCTCCGTTTTCCATTCCTTTATAAGAAATAAGAATATTAATGTAATTTTCAATATCAGCAAGAAAATATTCTAAATTATTTTCAGTTAAATCGAATCCGATCTCATAATCGAATTTTTTATTCTGATTTTCATTTAAACCACTTTTAGATAAATCAATTAAAATTTCCTAAACACTAGGTTTAATTTCCTTTATCATATTATTTACTTATTCGATATTTTATTATTTTTCTTATATTATATTTTTTAGTTTTTTATATTATTTTTCTTCCAGAGGTGTTTATAATTGAGCTCTTTCTTTAGCAGCATTTTCTTTAATTTAGTCTTGGCATTTTTTATGTAACTCTTAGTTAAAAGACTCTAAATTATCTATATCTTAACTTAATATATCAACATAATTATATAAAGAATAATTCTATTCCTCACTTTTTATGAATGTATTTGATATTTCATCTATATCATTTATTCCTGTATTTTCTTATATTTAGGAAAAGGCCTCTTCTATTACTTTTAGATTTTTGGAATATTATTCGATTACTTTTACTTTTTCTTTATTACAAGCTATTAAATGTTTTAGTCTTTTTTTTAATAATTCTTATGTTAATACTATGTCTTAGTCGTAATTTTCTTTTTTGTTTCCGGATTTTAATATTTCGTATTTTGGTCTTTCCTCTTCACTTTTTTTTTTAGCTTCTTCGTATTTACTAATTAAATATAATATATATATATATTGATTTTTAAAATATTGTACTTTAATGTTAGTTTTTTATCTTCTTCGTTTAATTAGCGTAATTTCAATATTTGTTCTTTATTTTTTTCTGTTTTCTCTTTATTATGTTCTATACTAGCTAATATATTAAGGGTTTGCCTTTAAGCTTTTTGCATATTCTCTTCTAATTTATCACTAACTTATAAATGAAGTACTCTTTCTTTCCTCAAAGAGTTTATTTCTTGCTTTAATTTATCGTTTTCAGTTTCGTTTTCATTATATTTGCTTATTGCTTAATCTATTTACGATTTTTGGCTTTTTATTTGAGTTTCTAAAAGTTTAATTTATATATCTTGTTGTTACTATTTTAATTCTTTTATTTTTTATTTCTTCTACAAATTCTCTTTATGAGCCATGTTATAGGTTTCTTCTAAAGCATATAAACGGCGCTTTTCTTATTCTAATTTTCTAGTATAATTGTCTACTTCTCTTTGGAGAGAAATTGATATTGGCTCGGATAATATCGATGATTTAGTAGGTGTTTTTTTATAAAAATTAGTAAACATTTTAATTTTTTAAGATAAATTTTATTTGCTTGATTTTAGTTTTTTATTTTTATTTAATAAAAAAATATTGATTTTAAGTTTTTATTTTAAATAGATGTATTTGTTATTTGCATATTAAAGTTTTATTATTATTATATAATTATTTATTTATTTATTTTTTTAAAAAAAATAACTTATGTAATATATAAAAAAGAATTAAATATTAATAATAAAGCAAATAATTAAAAATAAAAAAAAGTAAAAAAATAATGGAAAAAAAATATAAATTACTATAAGAAATAGAAGAAAAATAATTAATTTTGTAAGAAGAATATTACTTTAATGTTCGCCAATCCGAACAATATTGGGTAAGAGATAATTAAAAAGCACTTCGAATATAATCAATATATAAAATGTATCGTTGTTTTAAGCTTTTTATGAGATAAAAAGCTGCTTGTTTAAAAATATAAAGACGTTTTAGAGGATTTTTAGCCCGAATGAGATTTTAAAAAAGGAAAGAAGAAGAAGCTAATAGAAAAAATATAAAATATTTTTCTGAATAAGCAATTACTATTCAAAAAATATTCCGAGGATATTATTAGAGAAAATTTACGCACGATTTTTATGCAAGATAAAAATTCTTGAAAGAATTAAGCGATTAGAATAATAGATTTTAATAAGAAATTAATTAAGTAGCCTAAGAAGAAGAATTAGAAGAAAGAAAAAAATTAGAAGCATAAGCTAGGGAAGAATTTACATAATTAGCTTAAAATTTACATCATTTATCTAGTACTCGTTAAATTCCAGGCGTTTATAATCCGCCTTATGCTATGGCTAAACCTACGGCTTTTAATGTGGATGTCGAAACGCATCTTAAAGCTACTTTTAAAGTCAATTATATGTGGAAACCTCCTACCAGAAAGGATATTAATAAATTTACTATAAAACCTGTTAAAAAAGTTATTTGATTGGTTGTTTTTTTTTATATCTTTATTTGTTTTTTTTAAAAAGTATATTTTTTTATTTTTTTTTCAAAAAAAAAAAATAATAAATTTTTCATTCCTTTTAAAGAAAAATAAACATTAAATTATATTTTAATTTTATCAAAAATCATGAGTAATTTACTCCTTTTTTTATTATTAAAATTCTTCTTCTTATTCATATTCTATTCTGACTTTTCTGGAATTTTTTTTCTATTTATTATTACTTTTTTTATTAATTTTCTTCTTTTATTCTTCTTCTATACTTTATTATGATTATTCTTGTTCATTATCTTCACTTTATTAGTCTAAATTATCATCATCACTATATTATTAATTAGGATCATAAACAAATTCAGCATCACTAATGTTTTCTTCAGAAGCTTCGTCTTTTTCTTCCCCTTCTTCTTCTTATTCGTATATTTCTTAATCGTCCATGACTTTTTTGAAGGCGTTTTTATTAAAGTTATAAATATCTTCATATACACCATCTTTAAGTCTTTCAATTAATTCTTTTTCAATTTATTCTTCTAAATTTGCGGCTATTAAGGCTTTTTATTCCCTTATTTTATCTCTTCTTTCTGCTTTCTTTTTTATCGGAACAAGTTCTTTACTTTATTTTATATAATTTTTTTATTTTAAAATTATAATATATATTTTGTTATACAATCCATTTATTTTCATTTTTCTTATTCTTATAAGCATTTATCTTAATTTTGTTAATCTTTATTTACATTTATGTATAATAAAATTAGACCAGTAAGGTAAATGCTCATCTATTTCTAATAATGCCTTTTTATACATTATTTATTATTTTATATATATTTTAAAAATTTTTACTTTATCATAATTTTTAGACAATTATATTTTCTCCCATTAATTTGCAGGAGTATGAGCTCTTTCTGCCGTCTTTATATATAAATAACAGATGCCTTTTTCATGTTTAATTGTTGCGTATTGCGAATTTGCTAAAGGACAGGCTTGACGATTACATAAACCTGTTAAATTATATTCGTTTCTGCAAAAGTTTCTTGTATCAGTTCTTTTTTTATAAAAAAAAAAATATATAGAAGTTATTTTAAAGCATTTTGTATTTATTTTTTATGTTTACTTAACTTTAAAAGAACATTATTATCGATTTATTATTTACCAAACAACTTCGTCAATATTCATTTATTTTTATTTATTTAATTTTTTATAATATTAGTTTTAATTTTTTATATTTTTATATTATTTAGACTTATTTTTAATTTAATATATATCGATTTAATTTTTTCGTAAATAAAAATTATATATATAAATAAATAAACTAACAAAACTAACAAAACTAACAACTAAAGTTTTAATTAAACATCAATTTTCATTTATTATTATTTTTTTAATTAAAATCAAATTATACCCTTTTATAATGAATAATATTATGGTAATTTTTTTTTTTATATTTTATTATTTATTTTTTTAATAAAATACATAATTATTATTTCTTTAGATATGATTTTTCTATTCGATCTTAGATATTAATTATAACATAATAAATTTTATTAGATTAAAGTTATAAATGATATATCATTTAACCGCTTACTTCTTTAACTTATTAATATTAAAAATAACTAACTTTAAATTGATTTAAATTACCTATTTTTAATAATATTTATAGTAAGGAAATAAACTTTTTATATAAAATAATAATTTAAGTTTTATTAAAAAATATATTATTCCTCAAATATATATTAATTGTAAAGTATAGAAATACCTTATAAGTAATATTATTCTTAAAAACAATAATATATTAAGCTAAAATACAATATTAAATGTACTCCCTTCTTTTTATAATTATTTTAAATATATTATAAGGAGACCATTTTTTTATTCATTTAATGTTTATGAGCCTAAATATTTATGGATTTAATTTGCTCCAGTGAGAAGTCTACATAGCTTTATATTTTTTTATTCCAGTTTACTAATAAATTTATTAAATTTGTTTTTTTCGGTTAAAAAAATATCTATTTTTTTAAAGTTTTCAATATTGTTTTTTAATTAAAGCTTTGGACTGGCTATTTGAAATTTCGAATATTTTTTCTGAAGAAAAAATCTTTTAATTTTTTATTGCATATTTTAACGAATTGATGCATTTTTAGTTGATAATTTCTAAATATTATTTCCCTTTTCAATCCTTTACAAAACTGGATTTTTTTTTGAAAAAGCCATTTTCCCTATAAGTATTTAATCTTCTTATAATATCTATAAGTCTAAAAACAGATTCTTATCATAAATGAATTAGTTATATCTAAAAAGTATTTTTAATTAATCTTATAAACCTTTTTTTATAATTTCTTCTTTGTAATTATTTTCCATTAAAAATATAAATTCTCTTTTTTTTTTCTTTTTTAGAAAAATCAAATACATATTCCTATAAAACTTCTTTATGAAAATAAAAATTCGTATATTTTATTCCTTCAATACCATTTGAATTATTCCCCAATTTTTCTGACAATATTTATTCTTCTTATTCCCTAACAACATCAAATTTACTACATCAAACTCATTTCGACAATTCCCATATTTTTTTATATAATAGAAGTGTTTTTTGTGAATTTTATGGTGTATAATTATTTACCTAGAATTATTCTATGTTTCGCTTAAAATCCTTTTTGTTCCCAAAATAAAGAAACATTTCCCATTATGGATAAGTAACTTATTATTAAGTTTTTATATTCAACTAAGAATTTGTTTATGCAATAATTGACAACGATTCCATTTAAATTTATACCTCTATGTAAGTATATTCTACTATAATGCTTAAAAGAGCTTTAATTTATAATTATTATAAATATATAAATATGTATAATAAATATATTATAGAAATTGTTTATTATTAATCTATTTTTATTTTATTATTTTATTTTTTATTATTTTAGATAATAATTAAAATAGTATTAATAAAATATTATAGTAAAATGAATAATAGAAGCAAAATTATAAAAAATAAATACTCAATTTATACAGCTGATGGAAACGGAAGAGATAGTTATATATATTAAAGCACTAAACTAAAATATTGGCCTTTAAGTGATTCTTTTGTTAAAATGTTTAAAAAACCTATAAATTAAGAAGAACAGTAAAGATCAACAATTAGACTTTTTTCTTCAGGATAAAAAAAGAGAATAAATTATGATTTAAAAGTGTGTGAAGTCAATTCAAGATATTCATACTATTCTAAAAAAGCATGAAAACTAAATTAATTTTCTTAAATATAAATAAATAATAAAATGAACATAAAAATATTATGTGTATATTTATATTTATGAAATAATTTTTTTAATTAAAGATTTTATAAGCAACACTAGATAAAAAATATATACATAATAAACACATAAATTATTTAATTTTAATTGGTTTATTTAAATTAACTATTAATTGCCTTAAAACTTTTATTCTTTTATAAGTTACTAAATATAAATTTAATAAAACAATAAAATCATAAAATATAATTTATATATATAAATTATTTTTTATTAATTATTTTTTTTATGTTAAAATAAAAATAATTAATTATTTCAAAATATCAAATAAAAATTTACCTATTTCATTAAATTTGTAATTTAGCAAAATATTAGCCTGTAATAATTCCAAATAATCCCGAAATAATAAATAAAAACGCTATACAACTTATTCCTCTAGGGATAATTTAAACATCTAACAATTATAAAACGAGAGCACTAACAATAGGTTCGAACAATTAAAATGTTTACAAAAGTGGTTATTCGAACATTTTAGAAGTTAATTGACTAGTAATAAACCCACCCATTCCAATAACAATACTCATAAATAAAAAACCGCTAAATTATTCACTTGAAAATAACCCAAGAAGCCCCCACATAGAACTACCAGAAAGAATATCACTTCCAGAGAAGAAGTAACTACTCATAGAGATATTAAGGCAATTAAAAATGCAAATAAAAAATGTAGCTTAATATGGTTAATAAACTTTTAAAGCCAAAGAAGCATTTGGTTGCATTTTAAAAGTCACAAAACTTGCAAATAAAGAAATAAAATTTCCAAAAAGCAATCTTTACCAAGGCTCTCTGTAAAAAAGTTTATTCATTTTATAATTAAGGGAGGAAGGGTATATATCTTCAAATTAAAGTGAATATGAATCATATAAAATCATTAATATTCCGAGCAAAATTAATCCAATTGAACTTATATCAGAAGGATTTGTTACACCTACTGCTAAATTTCTATTTATACAATTGTAGAAATTCGATAAATTGCCTAAAATAGCGGCATGTGCTACAAAATTCCATTCAAAAGTAAAAAGAATAAGGGTAAACCAAATCGAAGTTGGAATAGAACTTAAATATGCTTATTTTAAATTATACCAATTAAACATATGACTGAATTTATATTGCTATTTAGCAGTTTCGTTGCCTGTTCTTTTCTCGTAAAGCATAAATGGAATCATCATAAAACTTTGCAAAAAAAAACGCCAGACTATACGTAGATATTTTTCAGCAGGCTTATGTTAAATCCATGAAGGAATAAATCCTCCTTATAATAATTACATAAAAAGTAAAAACCAAGCTATTTTTGGATCTATTTTTTGATATAAAGGCTTATATAAACCTTTTTATATTTTATATTTTCGAATTTTATATATATTGTTTATTAATTAATTATTTAATGTTATTTTTCGAAACCCATGTATATTTTTTACTATTAATTTGTCGTTGTGTACATCTTATATTTCCTCTGTATGAAAATTGAAACCTTCTATATTTATTAAAGTTTATTTAGGTTATATCTCGAATGAACTTTAGGCTTCTGAATTTTCTTAGTCAAATTAACAATATTCATCTTCATCTTATTATTTTATTTCTTATTTTTCTTCATTGATGGTATCTTATAGTAAATCATAGATATCGGATGTTCTTTACATTTTTATTTAAAAAAATATTTTTTTATACTTTATGCTGTTTAATTAAAAAAGATTCTTATTTTTTTAAAAAAAAATTATTAAATAAATTTTAATTAAAAGACTAAAATGTAATTATTATTTATATCTTTAAAAAAATTAATCATTTTTTAATTATTAAATGAATATTAATTATTTATAATTAGATTCTTTTTTATTAAAAAAAATTACATAATAAAAAAAATAAAATAGAAATAATTAATAAATATAAAATTAATTAATCAACAAAAAAAATATGAGTAAAGAAAAATAAAAAATCAAATCAGAATAATACAAGAAATTTTAGTTTTTTACAACAACTGACATAGAAGATAAATAAACAGGTCATACAGACCATTCTCTTTTAGATATAGACATTAGTATAGCTGAATATATAGATCCTCGTTTATATTTAGCATCAAAAAAAGAAAATTGCATATTTATATACGAATAGGATTCCATAATAGGAAAGTTTGCTCCTTTTTCCCACCAATTATACTCCATATATAAAACATAAGAATATTTAATTACATATGGATCTGAAAGTTAGGATTAGTAATATTCTTTTAGTAAAATATATAGTGCAACAGAATTTGTTTAAGGGTTGCCTTAATTAAAAAAAACAATTCAAGTTGGAAAAAACAGACCTTAAAAAAACTGTATGGCATTTTCTGTTTCTGAAGATTTATCAGCTATAGCTTTTGGATTTAAAGATGGAAATATTATTTTATATAAAGCTAAAGATATTATTAATTATCCTTTAAAAGAATTTGCATTTAAGGCTAGTGATTAGCCTATCAAATAAGTGTTTTTGTAAAAATAAAATATTAATAATAACGATGATAATATAGTTAATTTGTTTGTTTGTACTGATGATAGTATCGAATGTTGGATTGATTGCTCCAAAAAAAACTTCTTTATTAACCTGGAGGACATCTTTTTGGTTTGACGGGATAAGGAACTCTTATTGGATGTTGTAATAATGATAGTTCGAATGTTTTGGAATTCGATATTAATAAAAAAATCAATTAATTTGTTTTTGATGATGAAAATACTGAAAAATGTGTATTTTTTTTTTATTTATATATATAATAATACAAAATATTAGTAATTGAAAACTTTTAAAGATAATTTTTTAATTTTATTATCTTTTAGTAATTAAGATTTCTTTTTAACTATATTTGATATTTTAAACGGGTTTTTTTTTTTATTATATACTTTTTATATTTTTTTTTAAATAAATATAGATTTATTGCATATAAATAAAATTTTAAATCAGTATAATCTATAATTCCTTCTTAAAATTGTATTCACATAATGCATATGACATCTAAAGGTGAAAAAAAAATAACTAAATTAACTGAAATTGAAAACACATATAAAATATAATATTTCTTCAACAGATTTCTCTATGATATTGCTTATAAATTCGTAAAAAATTAAAGCCAAGATTAAAATTTATTAGCTGAAATATGTCGTTTGCATGCCGATAATATATACTAAAAAGTAAAAAAATAAATAAATAAAATATATATAAAAATAAAAAAAAGGGTGATTACTAATTAGCTATATAAAAATATATTGAAACAATTGGATTTATAGAACCATCATATGTAGTTCGTAAATTTTTAGATGTTTCCTAAATTGAATATTTGATAAAATATTTAGAAGCCTTACATTAAAAAAAGAAAAATGATAAACATTATACTGCCTTACTTTTAAATTGTTACGTAAAATAGAAATTAATAGATAAACTTGACACTTTTTTGAAACAAAACTAATATGATAGTGAACTTTTTGATATTGATTTGGCAATAAAAGTATGTAGGGAATCAAAAAATAATGACTTAGCTTTAACTTTGGCTGACCAAAATAATTTAAGTGAATAATATTTGGATATTTTAATGGAGTCCTTGAATGAAAATAATACACTTAAGGCTATTGATTATATAAGAAGTAAAGTTGATTTATAGGAAAAGACTAAATTTTTGTTAACTTTTGGATAGAAAATGATGAAATTATGTCCCGAGAAGACTTTAGAATTAATTTAAAATATGGTATTACTTTCTGCCATTGGGTCATAGTAATATTTACTATAGGAAGATCTATAAAATAATATTCCATTAAATGATTTAAGTGTTTTGGAATATTTTGGGTTAGAAGAAAAATCTTATTAGGAAATTCCTTTAGTAACTTTTAGATAAGCAGATGAGTTCTTTCATGTTTTTTTAGGGACAAAAGATTAATATTTGGAGAATTATTTGGAGTTTTTAACTTCTAAAGTAGAGAAATTATAAAATGAGAAGGTTATTTTTCATAAGTTGTTTGAGTTTTATTTAGAAAAAAATAACTAGAGTGAAGAATATGTAAATAAAATTTTAATGATTTTAAAAAATAATAAAAATGATAAAAAATATGATTAAAATTATTTATTGGTTTTGTTTAAAATGAAAAAATTTGCTCCTGGAATCATTTTTTTATATTAAATTATGGGACTTAAGGAAGACTTACTAAATTTCTATATTAATAATAATGAAGGAGACAAAATTATTGAAATGTGTAAAAAAGAAATTAATGAACCTAATTTATGGATTTAAGTATAAATATATATTTTAAGTTTATTTTGTAATATATAACATTTATTTAAAAGGCTTTAAAATATTTTACATAAGATGAAATATTTAAAAACAAATAAGATGAAGTCGAAATTAAATTAAAAGAAATTCTTGAAAATATTGCTAATTAATCAAGTTTATCTCCTCTTTTAGTTTTAAGTATCCTTTAAGATAGTAAGAATGTTTAATTTGGTACAATAAAGAGTTATTTTAAAAAAAAGTTAGAAGAAGATTATAAAATAATATAAAAAGATTAAGAAATAATAAATAAAAATATAAAAGAAGTCCAAAAACAAAAATAAGAATATGAACAAATAAAAACATAAGCAAGGGTATTAAAATATAAAAAAATAAGAATATTTAAAAATAAAAAAAGATTGTTACTAATAAAAAATGTTCTGAATGTGATACAGAATTAAATAATCCTAAAATTCATTTTATGTGTGGACATTCTTTTCATTTAGGATGCTTACGTTCTGATACTTAACAAAAGGGATGTGATAAATGTAGTTTAGAATTTAAAAATGTTATAGAAAGAAAAGAATAGTTTAATTAGTAAAGTAAAGATCATAAGGCTTTTTATGAAAATCTTACTTAATAAAATAATAAATTTGAGGTAATTGCAGGGTTTTTAGGAAAAGGATTATTCGCTTAATATAATGGTGGAAATAATTGATATTAATTTTATTAAAATAAAATTATCTCTTTATTTTATATTTATTATATTAAAATTATTTTAATAAATAAATATATATATAAATATATATATATATATATTTTAATATAATCATTAATATATATATATATATATATATATTTTGTATTAATAAAAAATATAAAATGGATAAAAATTAAAATTTTTTAAGTAATTTTTTAAAAGATCTATGTATTTAATTAATTTATTTTAATTATTATAATTAAAGAAAATATATTATAGCCTGTTGATAATTTAAATTCACCTGTTTTATCAGAAAAAGAAGTTTTTAAATATAATCTAAAATTGCAATAAATCATTATGTATTTTAATAAATAACAAACAATTATATATTTTAAAAAATCTTAATTATGAATTTTCTAATTTTATTTATAATTTTATGTTAATTAATTTGATAAAAATTAAAAGAAAATGTGACTTAAGAATGCGATAACTATGAGTTACAAAGGAAAGAATTTGAAAAAAAATATACCATGAATAATAGGAAATAAAAGTTCTTGAATTAGATTATGACAATTTCGAAATAGACTCAATTCATGCTGAAAAATTATATTAAATGCTAAAGGCTAATTAGGATGAATTAGATTAAATTATTTAGATATATTCAAAATAAAATATAGTAGAATAATAAGAAAAGGATAGTGATAATAAATTTAAAAATTTAATTTAAGTAAATATAAAAAGCATAAATAATTTTAAAAATTAGATATTTTTTTAATTCATCTTTTAAATTAAAAAAAAAGAATATATAAAATAGTAAAGAAAATGAAGAAAATAAAAAAATGATAATTGAATTAATAATATTAACATATAAAAAAATTCAAACAAATTCAAACTATGAAATGAAAATCAATAAAATACAAGAAATTTCAAATAAATATAATCAAAATTTAAATAAAATTAAATATATTAAATAACTTTCTACTTTTTGTACGAATTGTAAAGAAGAATTTATACCTGAAAATAATCATTCTGTAAAATATATTTATAATATATATATAATATATTTATAATATATTTATAATATTATATATATTATATATATTATATATATATATTAATATTTAGTTTATATTTTCTTTTATAGACAGCCTGTTCATATCATCCAGGTAAATTGAAATATTTCAGTTGTAGAGGATGTGGAGCAGATGATTATTATACTTGCTGTTTAAAATGTAATAGATGTTAAAATGGATGTGTAAAGTCTTCTCATATAAAATGAAATTTAAATTAATAATATATAATAATTTTTTAAAAATATATACAATTTTTATTTTTGATTTATATTTTCTTTCTGCTTTTTTTTATAAGTGCTATTATTAATTTTTTATATTTTTTTTAAATTATAAATAATTTATCTAAAATTATTACTAGCTTAAATTTAAAATTATAGATATATTATTGTTATGTATATTTTTTTATGTTTTTAACTTAAATTTATAAAATCTAAAATGATGAATTTATGTATAGTTATTTTCTTTAATTTTTTTTTTTTTATAAAGCATAAATTTCTTTTTTATTTAGATTCAAAATATAATAAAAATAAAATAAAATAATTATGTTTTATTTCTCAATCTGTTAATAAAAAAATAATTAAAAAAGTAAAAATATATTAATTGTATTCCAATTTTAATAAAATATAATTTCTCAAAAATAATAAATTAAAAAGCAATATTTTTTTTAATTAAACAAAAAGTATGCTTTACCTTTTTATTATTTAGTTAATTATAATTATATAATAATTTTTTATTTTTCTTTTTCTAAAAAATAATAAACAAAAATATATAAAAAACAAAAAACTGAAAATTAAGAAAAATAAAATAAAAAAAATGGATAAGAAACTTGCAAATTATCGTATAAATAATTCTTTAGGATGTAAAGCAATGTATATAACAACTAATAATGATTATGGGTAACACAACATATTAAATAGTGATAATATACCCACTTATAATGAAATAGTAGATAGTTTATCAGATTTTAAAAGAACTGAAAAATAATTAAAGAACAAGACTGTTGCAACTAAATTTAGTGAAAAAAGGTCAGATGAAAATGAAGACGAATTAATGAAAGAAAAAAAAAAATTCGACAGAAATATAACTATTCCAAAAAAGTTCCCTTTAAATCCTGATTAATATAAGAAACCTGAATAAGGATTGAACATTGGTAACCCACTTTATATGACTGCTAACAAAGATTATGGTATGCTAAAACCTTCTGCCTATGAAATTCCAAATAGGTATTATCCTACTGATACTAGTTACACTAAAGCATTTCCTTATAATTATAAATTTGATGGTTTAAATACGAATGTTACTTTTTCTAAAGTACACAAAGCTTTGAATGAATATTGAAGAATTCAATTCATATATAAATTTATATATATTTTATTTTCTTTTTTTATTTAAAAAATATTTATATAAATTAATATAAGTTGCAAAAATAATTATAGTATTAATTATATATAAACTAAAAAAAAGCAATAAAGTTATTTAAATAATTTTAAAACTAAATCAATAAAAAAAAATGTAAAAAATAATAAATAGCATAGTAAAATAGGAAGCGGGAAGTTCTCCTACATCTTCTATAGCAAGTAAAACACTTTAAGCAAACTAGAGATTTGATTTACATAAATATAGTTAAAAAATAATCGAAGATTTATATGAAAATGACTCTTTTGGTAAAAGCTAAAGAGAGTCTATAAAATAAAATATAGAATTATATAAAGATAACATATAATATGCAAATAATTATTTTCCAACAGATTAAGAATTAAAAAAATTAATAAATAAATAAAAGTAGTCATTTTTTAACCATAAATATAGTGCATAAGAAATATTAAGATCCTAAACACTTTATAAGCTTTTATATGAAACAAAATATGCTGCAAATAAAAATACAAAAAATTTTTTTGATATAAATGAAAAGTAAAATAAAAGTTTAATCCCAGAAAATGAAAATGAGGAAAGAATAAAAGCTAAATTCACAAATTATTTCCAGAATTAATTAAATGAAGCAAATTTTAAAAATGATGAGGAAATGATTACTTAATTAGAAGAAATTTTATTTAATTTAAAAAGCTAAAAACCACAGAAAAATTATAAATCAGTTGATAAGAAATAATAGAATTAATAATAAGAAAATAACTTAAGGAATCCATTAATAGAAAAGACTATTTAAAAATCAATGAAGAATATGCCGTATATTAATCAGTTTTATATAAAGAAATATTTTAATGATTATAATAACAAAATAATATAAAATAATTAATTGAAAAAACTACGAATAGTCAATAATTATCTTCCTTTAAAAATAATGTTTAAGAATTATACTCAAGGAAAACATGATAATGAAAATGAAGTATAAGTTAAAATAAAAAGTTCAAATACTAATGTATAAATATAGGGAGATATAATATATGAACTGCACAAAAAATATGGAATAAAAAGAAGCTATACAATACCAAATGATAGGTTTTCAGTAGAAAAAAGCGTAAGTGATTTATGTGTTTTAATGGACATTAAAGAAAATGTTAAATAAGATAAAGGATGTTTAACGTTATTTGCTATTGATAAAAAATTTAAGATTTTAGCAAAAGAATAAAGTAGAAAACTTATTGAATATTATCCTTATGATGATATTCATAATTTAAATGAAAACGAAAAAAATAATAATAATGATAACATTAATCAAAATAATTTTGAAAATATTATAAAAGTAAAGTCTTGTAAAACTTGGGTAGAGTAGTTGAAAATAGGAATTAATTAAGAAGAAGATTTGGAATAATAAAAAATATTTTAAATATATTAAGATAGTCTTATTGATGGATGGATTAGTTATTTATTATATATTAACTAGAATTTCATTGATCTTAAGCTTTAAAAAGATATCTAGGTGGTTTAAGATAGAGTTTTGGAACTTTTAAATAAGGAAATCGAAGAATCTTATTTTTAGTTTTATTAGAGATATTTGAAATTGTATTTTTTAAAAGGAAGATAAAATATTTTAAAAATATTATCTTATTGCAACTATTTGCAGTATATATAAAAAAAACTCAATTTTGAGTATTTGAATCTAATTATTAATAATAATAATGAAAAAGAGGATGATAATTTTACTTTTTAAGGAAAAAATAATTAAAATAATAATTAAAAAAATGTTGGTGATAACAAATTCTTTTTAACTAATCCTGATATATTTGGAAATATAGATAATATTAATAAATTATAAGAAGATTCTAAAGAAGATTATTATAAAATTAACGGAAAAATGCAAGCTTAAAAACTTGATAATTAATAAAAAAGCTAATTTGATAAAATAAATTTCGACTAAGATGATTTGATTATTATAACTAATGAATATAATGAAAAAATCATATATGATTAAACTAAGGAAGATTTGAAAGATGTTCTTAAAGAAATTGCTTAAGTTAGCTCTTTTTATTTTCATTTTAAAACTAAACATGATAAACCTTATACTTATAAAGATTAAAATCATATTTTTTAAGATAGTTTTGATAGAGAAGCAATGATTGATTCTATAATTTCTTTATAATAATAGTAAAGTTAAAATTAAATATTATAAAAATTATTTAAAAAAAAAAAGATTTTATATGCATAAAGTAAAGGTATTAATGAATATGAATAAAATATTAGAATTATGTATAGAAAAAAATATAAAAAATAATTTAATAAAATTAATGATTAAAATTAAGAATAGAAAAGTTCGTATAAATTTATTTGATAATAATGTTTTTTTATATTACCATTATGAAATCTAAAATATGATTTGTTTAAATGAAATTTTAAATAAAGTTTTAAATATTCCTAAATAATAATAATAATAATAATAATAATAATAATAATAATAATAATAATAATAATTTTACAATTTTTATTATATCAAAAGTTTGGTGAAATTTTTAAATGAAATAGAATAAAATAGATTAAATTTTTAAAATATAGAAAAGTATGTTTTTTATGAATAACCTAAATTAAGATAAAGCTAAATTTTCAAAGCACAAAATAATTTTTTTTAAGAATTAAAATAAAATACTTTTTAAATTTTTGATAATGACAATTCTTTCTTATAAGATTATCATATCGAGTTTAAATATTTAGAGAAAGATGATTTTTTAGATTAAATTGATAATTATAATAATATAGAAAGTAAACTAATTTTATAAATAGAAGAAAAATATTCTAAAAGTGAATAAGATAAATTTACTTTTGATATCATTTCAATATATAATTTTTTATAATTAAGAAAGCGTTTTCGTTACACCCTTTTTAGCTTATGTTATTTACTAGATATATATTAAGATTAAATAAATTTTTTGGGTAATGATTTTAAAAACAAATTTGAAATGTAAATTGATCCTTTTTTTGTTTCCTAACCTGAAAATAAGAAAAGTTATTTAAAAATCCTATTAGATGTAGATGTTCTTAAATTTTCTAAAAGAAATAAATTAATTAGAATAGTGGTTTTAAGTTATTGCTAAATGGGGTAATTTGGAAACTTTAAATAGTGTTTTAGATGTCGTTTTTTAATTATCTTAATTAACCTATAATAGTGTTTTTTTAAATAATTTGTTCTTTTAAGGATTTCTTTAGTAATTCCCAAAAGCAAAGATTGTTTTAAAAATAAAATAAAATATGGATATTTTTAGAAACATATTTGATATAAAAAAACAATTTGCAAATGAAAGTATAACTCTTACAAGAAATAAATATATTGGAAAAAGTCCTATTAATTTACCTCAATAATAAGATTAGGTAATTAATGCCTTAGTTTTAACTCCTAGATAGAGTGCTCTAAGGCCTAAATTAAATTCAGTTACTACTAAAAAGGAACTTGATGAAAAGACATTTAGTTTTACCAGTTTTGTTAAAAAACTTTAAAGAGAAAATTAATGGGATTCTATGAAAATTTTAACTATTTTATAAAGAAATTATATTGAAATATTTTATAATAAATTACCCTTTTAAGAACATTTATTATATTTTGCACCTTTTTAGCCTATTTTTGATGTTGGTTTTTAGGATAATCTCAATAATCTTAATACTCCTTAAGATAGTTAGATTTAAGTTTAAAGTTAAACTGTTAATAATGAAGAGTAAAGCGAATAAATGTTCTTTGATTCTAAAGGAAATATATAAAAAATTTGGAATATTCCTTCCATTGATTATATTCTTTTAATGAAACATTAAAATTTCGATTAAATAATTAATTAGGTTTTTTTTATATAAAAAATTAAAAGAAATATATTAAATAAATAAAAAAAAGAAAAATGAAGAAAACGGCTTAAATATAGATAATAATAATAATGAAGAAGATGAAGAAAAAAACTGGAAAAAATAATAATTTTCAGGTGGAAAAGATTGGCTTAAATTCTAGGAATTAAAATTGGAAAAAGATACATGTTTAATGACATCAAATAAGCAAAAAAAATCAATATAATTAAACAATAATGTATCAAAAGTCTTAAAAAAAATAGATTATTTTGAATGTAAGTCTTTATTATATTTGCGCTAAACACATCTTTTTGTAATGTATAGAACCTTCGAAAGCATAATTTAAATATTGGCTTTGGTTACATTTGATAATTCTCTTTAATCAGAACAAATAGATTTATTATATTTTTAGTAAGGATAATTAGGTTCTGAAAAAATTTAATAGACAGAAGAATATAGTAATGAAAAATTAATAAAAGGAGAAAATTTTGTTTTTCGAAGAAATGAACTTCGGTTAAGGAAAAGTATGGAAAATTTAAAACTTTGGATAAATACGATATAATAAAATGTCCAAAAAATACGTAAAAGTGTATAGAAAGGAGAAAATGCAATAAATAATATAGAAGTAGATAATTTAGAAACTAACGAGACAATATTATTATATTTAGAAAAATTACTTAATAGATATTTTATATAAAATCTATGTTCTTTTTTAATTTAAATTAATAAATCGAGAGAAAAAAATGATTAAAAATTTGTAAAAATATTAAAGGAAATTCTCATTGACTTCAACTTTAATGAAATTCAATTTTTAGCAAAATATTCAGATTAAAAAATTTTACTTGATAAAAGTATTCTTTTTGAAGATAAATCTGCTAATTTTCTCCATTAATAGACTGGAGGAAATATTTAGCATAGCTCCAATTCTGATTTTATGAATTTAATACGAGTTGTTTTTTGGGATTTAAAAAGTCAAATTATTAATAATAATGGACTAAGTATAAATAATAATGTTACTTCATATTTTAATAAAGAAAAATAGATGAGATTAATATGTCCTTAATAGTTTTTTTGCAAAACAATAATGCGGTTTAACTCTATATTGGACAATAAATTAATAAAATGTGAATAGTATTAACTTTAGGAACTTTTTGAAACCAAAAAATAATTAAATGTTGATATTGAAGGGTTTATTAATAGAAATTATCCGAATATTTAAGAAGAGTAAAATTTAATTTCTTATGAAAGATATTGTGCGAAATTTATACATTTAAAAACTAGATAGTTGATTTGTAAGGAAATTTTTTTAGTAAGAAAATTAAATATTATGCCTTTTGAAATTTCAAGTCAATTATAAGAAAATGGATGTGAAGATCCTTTGGTTGAAATTTCAAGAATTTAAAACGAATATTTGGCTGAAATTGAATAGAAATTATTATAATAATAATAGTAATAGTAATAATAAAGAAATAATGATAAATATAGATAATAAAAATTAGGCTAATTTAAAAAGGAAAGTATGAATTATATTACCGAAAAAGCGCCTGAATGTATTATTGTTTAAGATATGATTATTTGTCTTTTTTAAATTTAATGTTCTATGTATGCTGAGGCTAATGATTTTTATTATGAATAAAATTGCATTATTTCCAAACTTATTAATGAATAAAGAAACAAATAAACGACAAATAATAATAGTCCAAAAAATAAAGGAAATTTTATCCTTCCTACATTTTTTTAAACTGGAGATGATAATTTATATGTTTTGGATATTAATTCTATTCTTTAGAATTTCATGTAGAAAGTTTATTTTGATTCAGCAGAAATTAAATGTTTGAACAAAAATGAATCCCTTGTAATTTTAAAAAAGAACCTTAAACAACATTTATATATAGTGAATACTCATTTGATTTAATTAATAGAAAATAAATATACTTAAATAATAAAAAATGCCAAATAAAAAAATTAAATTTTAAGCAAAGATGTCGAATTTGAAGTAAATAAAAGTCTAGAATTAAATAAAAAAATAAACTTTTTAGAAAATAATATTTAAAATATTGCTGAATCTTTAATAGCTGAAAAAAGCGACGATTTATTATATGAGGTTTAACATTTTGTAAAAAACTCTACTTATACAATAGAATAGAGATAATAGGAAAGAGAAAAATTAAGGTAGGAAATATTCAAAAAATATAGTAATTAATTTAGAGATAATTAGATTTCTAATGATAATTTGATAAGTAGATATTATGATTTTAAGAAAGGATAGAAATTGGAAGTTTTTAATATGATTGAATGTATAAAAGATTATGATTATAAATGTTTGAAAGAAACAGTATAAAAAACATTGAATGAAGATTTAGAAAGCTTATTTTAGAAAATGGATGATATATGGCAAGATAATAGTGAATAAAAAAAAGAAGAACTAAATAATAAAGAAGTGAAGAGTTTAATCCTTAATTTTTAAAAAATGAGAATTTTTAAAATTTTAAGAATGGAATGTATCAAATCTAAATATAATAGAAAAATATAATAAATTTATGATAATAATTCAACTAATGAATAACTTTATAGAGAAAAAAAGAAATGTAAAGCTAATATGAAAATATGAAAGAGTAACTCCTTTAGTTAAAAAAAACTATTGCCATAATGGAATATTAAAATGAATTGTTAAGACAAGATGTATAAAAATCAAGAAAGGAAAGACTCTTTTTTATGAAATAATAAAAAATAAAGGATGATTAAATTAGAAGTTTAGAAGAAAACTTAGATCTTAAAAATAAATAGTCATTTTAAAAAAATACTCAGAAATTCTATACTACTCATAAAAATATTGCTTCTTCTCATTTTATTACTAAAACTAATATTTAGTAATCTTAAAATTTCTAGTTAGCTTAAATTAATTCTTAATTAAATTTAAATAAATAAATTTCTCCTTAAGACGTTAATAATGCATAATCTTAAACTTAAATTAATAATACTTCAGTATAATAATAATAAACTTTATAGAAAACTATATAGATTAATTAAGATAAAATAAATACTAAGTAAAAAAAATAAACTAAATATAACTCTACTAATAATGTTATTAGACCTTAATCAAGTATACCTACGAACAATAAAGTTCTAAGAATGACTTATAAAATTGTTTAAAATTGATATATAGGATATTTAAAAGCTTGAATTATAAAAATAATATTTGTTTTATAAAAAGCATTAATTTAAAAAAAAATATATATTATATTATTTTAATAATTTTATAAACAAAATTTTACGAAAATAATAATTTTTATTAAATAAAAATAATTTTGGTTTTAAAAATATATAACTAATTATGACGGCATATTATAAAATTTATAGTTATTAGAATATTTTTAAGATAATAAAATAATTTATTAAATCATTTTAATAAAAATTAAAATGTTTTCTATATTTTTTTTCAAAATAATTTATTTATATAATAATATATTTATAAAGGCATTTTTATTAAGAAATTTTATTTTTCCCTAAATTTTTATATAATATTATAAGAATCATTTTTTAAAATATTTAATTTTAAGATATTAAATATAAATTCTTATATTTTTAAATTAAATATTAAATATAAAAAGAAAATTATAAAAAATGATATTGTTAAAATATATAATAATTTAATTAATATCTATACAAAGTTTTTAACATTAAATATAAGATTAAAAAGAATTAAACGAAAAAAATAAACTATAAATAAGTACTGAAAAAAAAGATAATGAACAAAAGGTTGATATATTACTTATGGAATTATAAGAATTAGAAAATTTAATAGATTTAAATTAAACAAAATTGCATTTACTTTAAAATTTAAGGCAAAGCATGGTAAATAATAATGTGACATTTTAAGATTTTAACATAACTGAATTTTAATAAAACACAAAAAGCTCTCAATAAGTAGATTAAGATGATATTTTTTAATAATAATAAATAAGCAATTAAAATCAAATAAATAATTATTATAATATATAAACAAATATTTAATAAAAATAGTCAACGAAATAATAGCAAAAATAATTAATGAATCATTCTATAAAAAAATTTTCGATTATAGATAATATATAAACTGAGGAAACATAATTCATTAATACCTTTCAATATACTACATATAAATAAATAGTCGCTAATCATATGATTGTTAGTTCTACGAAAGATTTTAATATAATAGTTCATGATTTAAGTGGAGTAAAAATTACTGATGTATATACTCCCGGACATTAAATTGTCAAATTTACTGTATCGTAAAACTAGGATGATGTTTTTGTAGCCACTGTTGGTGATGATTATAAAATTAGAATTGCTAAACTAGAAAATACTAAAGTTAAATAATCAACTTAGGAAAGCTTTAACTAATTCAAATATAAATTAAAACCAGAAAGTATTATTGGTTTATAATCTTTTAATTAAGATATTCCTTTGAATGTATTAATTTTTTTATCTGTTTTAATAGTTTTTTTAATTTTTTTAAAAAAATAATAGGAACAAGTTATATCTTTTATTTTTATTAATTTCAAAGGATAATTTAAGTATTTTTTAGTTGGGGATAATTACGGATTTATTCAGTATTTTTATTAATAAAATTAATTTATTTTATATCAATAAAAAAATAAAATAGTACATATAATAAAAATGGTACATATGTAAATAAACAATAAATGAGTAAAAAAGGACATCCTATAAAGTTTTTATTTAAATCTTTTCCTAATTTGATTTATGCGAGTAAATATTTAAAAAATAATTTTATTTATTTTAAAAAATTAAAATAAAGCTAAAGAAGAAATTGGATTTTTTAATTTAAATACTTTTAAAAAAACTAATTATGAATGCGATATAGTATTAACAAAATATTTTTTTTATTTTAAATAAATAATAAAGTAAAATAATGTTTTTTTAGATGTAAAGATTGATTAAAACTAAAATGGACTTATTTATGCTTTAAATGATAAATAAGAAATTATTTTATTTGAATATAAAAATACGGATGAATATTGTAATATAAAAGAGAAAATTTAGATTGTCTAAGATATAGATGACTTCGAAATTAATATTCAAAAATTAGAATATGATGGCTTTATTGTTATAAAAAAATATATTTTACTTTACAATGAAATTCAAAATAAAGTTCGGATTTTAAATACAACTGATTTATATAAAGGGAATGAATAAAAAGGATTTTAAATATAATTATTCGAAGATAATAATTTCTTAAATTATAAAAGGCATATAATTTCATAAAAATATCAATAAATGAATTTTATTCTTTTTACAGAGACATCTAAAGATTAAAGTTTAACTTCTTACCAATTGTTTGAAATTGTTTTTCCAGTTATAAAAGATAATGATTTTTTTTCATAAATTAGAGTCCCTATGTATTAAAATATATATTTAAGTTTAGTTTTTTAAAAAATGTTTATAAAATAAATAGGATATTAAGTTTTATAGCTCTCGTAGTTGGTTATTAAATATGGAAAAATCTTAAGCAAAAAAGAAAATATAAATAAAATAATTAAATTTAAGAAAAAGATATAAATTAAAATGATAGTTATAATAATAAATTAAGTTAAATTGAAAAAAACACAAGAGCTTTAAATAAAACTATGGATAGTTTAATTACTAAAACTAAAGGATAAAAAAAAGAAATTTAAAAGAATTATTCAGATGATGAATATGATGATGATAATTTAGTCAATAGAAGAAACATTGATAAAGAAATTAGTTTTAATGATTGATTAAGATAAATAAAAAAATTGATATATATGTTAAAATTAAAAAATATTTAAAATTTATTAGACTATAATTTTAAAGAATATAAAAAATAAATATTAAATGCATGAAAACTAATTATTTATATTTAAATATTGAAATAAAAAACTAATTAAATAAGTTCTATAATAATTATTATTATTTTATGATTTACATCATTTTATTACAATCAATTTTTTAAATACTATGCTTTAAATATCTTTATTTATCTTATAATTAAAATATAATTAAAATATAAAAAATCATTTACAAAATATGAATAAAAAACATGTATTTAAATTTATAAATGAATTCATTATTTGAATTATGCTTTTTTAAAAAATAAAAATAAAAAAAGACATTAGGTGAAGATTTTGCATAGGAGAAATATTTTAATTAAGATGATGATGAAGATGATAATTAAATTTAAAACAAATAAAACAATGATAATGAAGATGAAGATGATGAATTAGACGCATTTATGAAAGAAATAGACGAATAAGCAGGAAAAGATAAATAAGTTATAAATTCAAAAGATAAAAATATAAATTCAAAGAGAGTAAATAAAAGAAATTATTGACAAATTTTATTTTTTTTTAATTTTTTTTATTTTTATTTTTTTAATTTTTTAGAAAATAGGAGAAAGATTAGATGAAGACAATGATCCGTTAGATTTATATATGGATAGCTTAAAGAAAAAATTGATTAATTAAGCAAATAGTGAATATATATATAATATTTTTTTTATTTAAAATAAATATATATATTAGAAAATAATAATGTAAAGACTAAAAAGAAAAAAAATAATAATGAAGAAAGCGATTCTGAAAACGAAGAAGATGATGAAAATGTTGAAAATAATTAATATGAATTTTTAGATAGCGATGGGTTTACTTTTATATAAAAGAATTATAAATTTATTTATATTTATTTTTAAAATTTAAAGTGAAATTGATTTCGCAAAATTAAAAGAAAATAAAAAAAAGAATTTTAAATTATTAGATAAATTTGATCATTCGAAAGTAAAATATCAATAATTTACTAAAAATTTTTACATTGAGCATCCTGATATTTAAAGTTTATAATAAACTTAAATTGAAAAAATAAAGTATTTTAAATAAAATAAATATTTTTTTATTTATATACATATATTATTTTTTCAGAAAAGATTTTGAAATAAAAGTTAAAGGATATTGTATACCTGCTCCTTTAGTAAGTTTTGGATATTTAGGATTTGATGAATAATTAATTAATTAAATTTCAAAATAAGGTTTTTAAAAACCTACACCAATTTAATCTTAAGTATAAATAAAATATATTTTAAAATAAGCTTTTAATATTTATAGGCCTTACCATGTGCTTTAAGTGGTAGAGATGTTGTAGGAGTTGCTAAAACAGGATCAGGAAAAACAGTTTCTTATGTTTGGCCTTTATTAATTCATATTCTTGATTAGGTAATTTTTTTTTTTTTTAAGTAATACTATTTTTATTTTTTAATTATTATCTATAGTAAGAATTAGAAAAAAACTAAGGACCAATAGGATTAATATTAGCACCAACAAGAGAGCTATGTTAATAAATTTACCTTGAATGCAAAAAATATGCTAAAATATATAATATATCGTAACAAAAAAAATATTTTATATAACATTAATATATTTAAAAGTGTCGGAGCATTGTTAGGAGGTGAAAATAAACATGAATAATGGCGAATGCTTAAAACAGGAGTCGAAATATTAGTAGCAACTCCTGGAAGACTCATAGAAATGATTTAAAAGAAAGCGACAAACATGATAAGATGTACATATTTAGTAATTGATGAAGCTGATAAAATGTTTAGTATGGGTTTTGAGAAATAAATAAGATCTATAGTATAATAAATAAGACCAGATAGATAGACATTACTATTTACGGCAACTTTAAAGAAAAACATATTAAATTTGGTTATGGACATATTAGATAATCCAATTACTATAAATGTTGGAAACGATAATTAGGCCAATGAAGATATTAGGTAAGAGCCTGTAATTTTTAAAGAAGCTTTTTAAAAAGATAATTGGTTAGTTATAAATTTACCTCTGTTTTTATAAAAAGGAAAAGTCCTAATTTTTGTTAATCATATTGCTAATTGTAGCAAATTATAAGATCTTTTGTTATTAAAGCTAAATATATAAGCTTTGAGTTTACATGGTGATAAATCACAAAACGATAGAACTTAGATTATTACTTTATATAAAGCTTAATACCCTTTATTAATTGCTACAGATGTTGCTTCTAGAGGGCTAAATATTCCGGAAATTAAAACTGTTATTAATTATGATTTTCCTTAAGATACTGATACTTATATACATAGAATTGGACGTACAGGAAGAGCAGGAGCTACGTAAAAAAAAAATTCTTTTAAAAAATTAAAAAAAAATTATAAAAAGTGATGGCATTGCTTATAGCTTACTTCTATATGATGAATCTAAATATGCTGTTAATATGGTAAAAGCTATGGAATTAAGCGGATAGCCTGTAAATTAAAGCTTAGAATAAATTGCAATGAATGATGATAAGTTTAAATCTTAAAGATTAGCTAATAAATTAGGTGTGAGCTTTGCAAAAGGAAAAGACGCAAGCAAACTATTAAAATAGGCTTTAAGTAAATAAAGAAATGCTGGATAAAAACATGGTTTAGGATATTAAGAAGAAAAAGAAACATCTTTAAAGGATTAAATTAAATAAGATGTAGAAAAATAAATGTAAAAATAAACTTAATAAACATAAGAAAAAATTTTAACGAATGAGTAATAAAGGATTTAATAATAGATAATCCTTGAAGAAAAAAACAAATAAGAAGAAGAAAGGTAAAAGCTGGTCAAACAATAACAATTAATTAAAGAATACTAAGAATAATTACTTAAATCATAAAAAATTTCAGAAGAATAATATTTATAGTAATAAAATTACTAATAATAACAATTAAATCAATAAATGATATATTAACAATAGTAATTATAATAATAGTAATATTATTTGTAATAATTTAATGCACATTAATAATAGTTTTAATAAGTATAATAAAAACCTGAAATTAATTAATAATAGGTAGAAAAATAAAATACTTAATAGCCTTAAGCTAGAGAATCAATAATGGATACATATAAAGTATAAATGAAAAAAGAAATGTAATAATAATTTAGAAGTGGATTTGTATCAGGAGGAACTTTGTAAAAAGGAAATAAATGTATTTAAAATATATATAAAATTATTTTTTAATTTTAAATTTTAATATAGAATGAATATTTTAGAAAGGTATAAAATTATATATATTTATTAATTATTTATTTATAAAATTCGTATTTATTTATATGAATAAAATTAAATGTATTAATTAATTATTAATAAAATATTTTTTATATTTATATAAAAATTGAATTATTTATTACTTATTTATTTAAAATGCAAAAATAAAAATATATATTTTATGATCAAAAGTTGACTTTTTTAATAAAAATATTTTATTTAATATTTTGTGAAAAAATATGTTAGTATAATTTATATTATAATTTTATTTTTCTTTGTTATATAAACTAAAAAAATATGAATCAGTTATGTTAAAATATAGTAAATATGTTTGATGATTGTTGTGTTAATTATTGTGGGTGTACTTATCATAGATAATTTGAAAATATATAGTTAAAAAATATAAATAATTAAATAAATATTTTAAGAATCGAAGATAGTAAAAAAGAATTAAAATTGTTTAATGAAAATTATGATAATATTTATAAAAATAATTAAAAATAAATTTAGTTATGCTAAAAAATCATAAGTACATAAGAAAATCTTTAAAGATAAAATATTTTAAAATTGTTTAAGTAAATTAAATCGCATAGCTTAGGGGATGAACTTGAAAATTAATCCTTATTAACATATAATTATTATTAGTAATTTAGAATTTTTAGGAAATATACAAAGCTAAATAAATAAAATATATTAGTAACAATTTCAATTATTTATAAATATTATGATGATTATGAATATAATGAATGTGTAATTATTAATTTTATATTATTTATGATATTTTTTTTTTTAAAGAAATTAATCTTATAAGATTTATTAAATATATGTGCAAATTATATTCATACACCAACTAATAAAATAATTAATTATTGTTTGTCTTAAATATCGGAAGGTATAAATTTTTGTTTTATAATTTCTAAATTTAAAATTTATAGATTTAAATTAAATTGAATAGTAAATATATTATTAATATGTAAGTTAGTATGAAGATTTTGATATTTTATAATTAATAAAGAATACAAAGAATCATAAATAATTGAAGTAATTAGTTTTTTAATTATTTATTTAATATATTTTTAAAATATTAAAGATGCTTGATTTTTGTTATGAACACTATAAGATATTCATTTAACTAATTACAAAGCTTTTATAATTAGCAAAACATTGTTATATAAAGTAATTTTTATTATTAAAATCTTAAAAATTAATTTAACTTTTTTTAAAAAATGCAAATAAATAAAAAGATAGAAAAGACTTAAATTTAAATAAACTTATAAATCAAGATAAGAAAAAAAATGAAATTGAATAATAAAAATTCAATTAAATGGTAAAGTTAAGAAATAAATTAAAATAACATCAAGAATACAATTTCTTTTTATTTAAATTTGATTGTCTATTGTTTTAAAGTTATATCGATTCAGATATTTTAAATATGGAATAAAAAAATATAAAAAAGCATTAAAAAAAGTTATTAATTTAATGGATTTAGGATTATACTAACAAAAAATTATAACAAATAAACTAAGAAAGTTAATAATAAATGACATGCAGAATATGTGATTAAAAGTTCAATATTAAGCATATGACATAACATACAGAAAATTGCGAAAAAATGGCATAGTTTAGAAAATAACTAATAGAATTAGATATTAAATTAAAAGAAATAAGTGAGTTTGCATATAAAGAATAATAAAAACTTTAAACATAAATTAATTTATAAAGGTTAATAATTTTATTAAATAAAAAAAAAATATTTAATTTTTATTTTTATTAAAGATTTTCAAGAAAAAATTCAAATATTTCGAAATTAAGAAGATAATAATCTAATTTTAATATAGAAACTAATGAATATATTAGTTCAATGGACTCTTTTTCTTCATAAACAGAACCTTTTAAAAAGTGTCACAAATTATGTTCTTTGGGTAGTTTGCTCAATTTTAATTTTGTCTCTAAGTATTCATAAGAGTATTTTTCAAATGCAACTATTGATTCTAAAATAAACACGATATCAGAAATAGGAAAAAATTATACTAATTGTTTTAAATAAGATTCATTGTAAGATTTACAATCATATAAAGATGGATTAGAAAACAAAACAAAAAATTAATAAATACAATAAGAATAAAATTTATATCATTTAAATTTAGATGTTTCAGGGAAATAATCGAATTAAATAACTTAAATTAATTTATCTTTATAAAAAGTAACTGAAGAATCATCACCAAATCCATAAAATATACAATAGCTTTCTAATATTAATATAGAAAGTAATGATTTTTATAAAACACCTACCCATAGTTAAGATGAAAAAAGTGAATAAAGAGTTAGTCTACATGTCATAGATGAATGTTTGGAAAAAGATTCGAATAATAATAATACTCTTACTAATTTTGAATTTAATACAAGTACTAATATTTAAAATTAATAAATATAAAGTTAAATTTAATATGTTTAAGATAATTATTCTGATGAAAAAAAGTAATTTTAACAGTCAAATTTAAATGATAAATATTAGTTCATTTATAATAAATTTCTTAGTTAAAATAATTCTCCTTTAAAACAATAAAATAGTTTTTTTATCCTTTTAAAAACAGCAATAATACATCTTAAGATACAGATTATAATATAAAATACTCATGCTCTTATTTATCTTAGAAATAAGCTGAAAATAATGGATAATAATAAGAAACTTTAATAAATTTGAGTGAAGATGATAATCTTAGTGTTTAAAGTAGAGATACAAATGATATTATTGAAAAAACAGAATTTTATGAAAAATAAATTTTAGAAGATTTTAAAATTATTGAAAGCTTATATTAAGTTGCTTAGGAATTAGAATAAAATTTTCTAAATGATAGAAATTAAAATATATATAGTCAATAGAGTAAAAATTTTAATTAAATTAAATAAAATAAGATTGATTTTCAAAACAAAAATCATTTATAACAAAAATTTGTTATTAAAAGATCCTAAACAGTCAAATTAGTACAAGATTTATAGTCTTAAACTTACCTAAAAAATTAAAATGATAATTAGAATAAACGCTAAAATAATAATAATAATAATGGGCAAACTAAACTTATAAAAGCTGTTATTCAAATTTACGCTTATATTATTTAATATGGAGAAAAAATTACAAAAAGAATTGATTTAGTAGATTTAAATAGTTAATAATTATTTAATTCTATAAATATATTTTTTTTATTAATTTATATTAATATAAAGATGACATTAAAACATAAACTAATTTAAAATTTGGTTTACCTGATATTATTTAAGAACCTATTGCATTTCAAAAAATTAAATAGTCAATAGAATTCTTAAATGTAAAGCATTTTTATATAATTAATAAATAAATAAATTTAGGAAAGAATTTAAATTTAGAGAAAAATAAATAAATTAAAATAATAAGAAACAAAATTAATTTAATAAGACAAATAAGAAAATGAAAAGGATAATAAAGATTTTATGAAAAACATAAACAACATTTTTTAATAAAATCTAGATTAAAATTAAAGCTAATCTAATTAATAAATTTAAATTGAATAAGATTAATATTAATATGATAGAAAAAAAAAAATTAATAAAAAAAGAAGAAAATTCCAACAAGAGAAAGTTTTCATTTTAACTCTTTAGATAGAAATACAATAAATTAATACCATTAAAAGTATATGAACAGTATATAAATATGTAAATTGGATGATTATACTATTTAATATTCTCCAGAAAGTAATAAAGGAAATTAAAATAAATAAAGTAATTTTTATAAAAGATAATTTTAGAAAAATGAAAATGAATAAAAATAAAATAAAAAATAATAATATGAGGATAATCATACATTCAGTAGTTTTTGTGCCTTGTCTGATATCGATAATTCTTTTTAATCAATTTAATAAAATTAATAAATATAAAATCCAAGCATATTTTTATAATCTTTAAATAGAAATAATAAAAGAGTAAACGAATTATAATATATGAAATAAAAAAACTCTGTTTATTTAAATCTAATAAATGAATTTGCTTATTAAATTTAATTATAATTAAATTATAATTCTAAAAGTAAAGATGATTCTTAAAATTTAAAAATATAATAAAAACATAAAGGTAATTTTTTTTCTTACTTAAACTAATTTATATGATTATTTTTTTTAAGGTAAAAAATAAAAAGTAATATTGTATTTTAATATAATTATATTTAAATGGAGAACAAACATTTCATCGAAGGCAAATTTTAAAAAAAGGAGAAAATTCTTCAAAAAATCAAAATAAAAATTACAACATAATGCAAGAAACATAAGGAATAGATTAATATGATATATTAGATAAAAAAATTAGAGAACATTATTTAAAATTAAAAATAAAAAAAAAAGAATAATAAAGAAATAGTAATGAAAAGTATTTCTTTGTTGATGAAGAAGATGATTTGGATATAAATAAAGGTTATTATTCTGATTCTGATATGAAGAAATTTTTCGAAGATGATATTAATTTTTAATAATCTATAATGAATTTAGGTTTATAAGATTTTGAATTTAAAAGAGTTTTAGGTGTAGGAGCATTTGGTGCAGTTTGGCTTGTAAATAAAAAAAGTACAAATGATGAATATGCATTAAAAATAATAGATTGCTCATAATAGGTATTAAAAAATAATATATATATTATTTTAAGAATAGCTTTATTAACTTTTTCTAATATATTTTATTAAAAACTCATTCAAAAATAAAAATAGAAATAAATTTATTTCTATTCCATTATTTATAAATTGTTTATAAACATAAACAAAAAATAAATTTTAAAAAAGAATAAATTTTGATAAAAATTATAAATTATAATATTTATATTTTATTTAAAAGTTAATCAAATAAAATAAAAAATATTAAATAAACTTAAAATATTTTGTCAAAAGTTATTTCAATAAAATGTTAAAGAAAAATAAAAAAATAAATATTAAAATATTTATAAATTTATATATATATATATTTATTTATTTTTAATTATATATTTATTTTTTATATGAACAAAATTAACAATATATATTTATTTATATATATATATTAATTTTATCAATAAAATAATATTTAATTTTTAGATGGATAGGAATTAAAAAGAGAATTTAAAAGCTGAAAGTAATGTTTTCGAAATTTTAACAGGTGATTATGTTGTCAAAGCTTTATATTCATTTTAATTTGATAACCATTTATTTTTTGTTTTAGATTATATAAATGGAGGTGATTTTAGGTAATTATTAAATCGAGAATGTAGATTAGACGAAAAAACAAGTTAATTTTATATTGCAGAAATTATTTTGGCAATCGAATATTTACATTCATAAAATATTATTCACAGAGATTTAAAGCCTGAAAATGTACTTTTGGATAAAAATAGGCACATCAAATTAGCAGATTTTGGTTTATCTGAAGTTGGACTAACTAATAAATTATGTTTAAACAGTAATGATAATTAAGAATAAAATAGTTATATACCAAATTAAGAAAATTCTAAGAAAAAATATAGAGTTATAGGAACTCCAGATTATATTCCTCCTGAAGTTATAAATGGATTATCAACCAATAACTCTTCTATTGATTGGTGGAGTTTAGGCGTTATGTTATATGAATTTGTTATTGGGTGTAGGTACTAATTTTTTGTTTCGTTATTTTTAATGACTTTTTTGTTAAAAACATAATTAGACCATTTAGCGGACTTAGTGTAGAAGAATTATTTTAAAATATTAAAAAAGGTAAAATCGAATGGCCTTAAGTAGGTAATATTATTATTATATATGAATGATATTAAAAAAAATTATTATTATTTTGAATGAAAATAGGATATTCAGATGATGATATATCTCCAGAAGTTCAAGATCTAATAATTTAATTATTAAATCCTAATTATAAAAAAAGATTAGGAGCTAAAAATGTTAATGATATTAAAAATCATAAATTTTTTAAAGGTATAAATTAATGAATATATAAAATAATAATAAAGGAAAAAAAATAGGAATTGATTGGAAAAATATATTTAATCAAAAAGCTCCTTTAGAGAATTACGATTAAAATGAAAATTAAGAAGAATATATAAATGAATAATAAATTGTAAAAATATAAAAAGAAAAAGACAAACTGGAAAAGTTACTTAAAAGATATAGTAAAGATAAAAGAAAAAGAACAGTAAAAATAGATGGAATTAAAAATTTATGGCGAGTAGATTTATTAGCAAGTATAAATAAACAATAAGCTGAGGCAATAAAAAAATAAAAATAATAGTAAGATAAAAAAAATTAAGAAAAAATGAATAAATTATTACACGCAGCAATGATATTAGAAGAAAGCTAAACAACTTGAAAAAAAATAAAAAATAATAATAATAATAATAAATAATATAATAATAATAATAATAAATATGTTAATAGATATTAACTTTAATAATATTTTTTCATAATCATATATAAATTACAATTTTTTTTTTATTTAATTAATTATTATTTATTTACTTAAATTCTTTTTTCATATTAGATTTAATCATATTTTTTAAATATTAATATATATTTAATATTTTTTTTAAATATTTTTAATAAATAATCTATATAATGATTGATATTTAATATATTTTATATAAAATTTATTTTTAAAAATGTTTATAAAAATTTTTATTATTATATTTTTTTATTAAATTACTTATTAATAATGACAATAAATCTTGTATTTTTTATTTATTATTATTTAAAATATTTTTATTTTGCTTCATTTTTAATAATTTCTTTTTTATGTCTTTACATTAAAAAAATATTTTTTACTTTTATTTGTCTATTTATTTATATTTACTTATTAATCATATTATTATAAATAGTTTTTACTTTATTAAATTTTATAATATATTATATGCAATTAACATTCTTATTTTTGAATCATTAAAATTTTTTGCTTAAAATTCCCCTTTTTCTAAATTTTAAGATTTTATTAGTTAAGTCATTAATTTTATTATTTTAAATTATTCATGCCTAAATATTAATATTTTTAAAAAAATTAATAAGCTTTATTAAAATAAATTTTAGTTTTTATTATAAACATATTTTAAAATATTTATATTATATATTACTAGCGCTTATTTACTCGTTTCTTCTATTTTTTTTATACTTTTGATTTTTTAGTAAAGATATTCTATTTTCAAGAAATTAAATATAGAATTCTATTTTTTTCCTTTCTCTTTTAATATAATAATATTTAATAATGTTGTAATTCTAGTTTAATTTTAATGTTAATACACAATATTTCATATTTAAATTAATTAATTTTTTCTCATAATTTGTATAATTTTAAATATTAAGTTTATTTTATGAAATGTCTTTATTAAATTTTACTATTATCTATATTTTACTTTGATCTTAAATTAATCTATATTCTAATTTAAATACGATAAATATTGATATTTTTAATTTATAATTGTATTTATTTAGTCTTCTTAAGTGTATTATTATATTTGATTTATTTAAGATAGTTATAAAACTTAAACTTAAACTTGATTTTATATTTAAGTTTACGTAATTATTTTTTTATTTCAAAAAATATAGTATAAAAATTATACAATAAAATTAAATTTTATATTATATTATTGAATTTTTATTTAATTAAATATACAATTAAATTGTTTTTATAAAAGTTTATTAAAAATATAATAGTTTTAAGAAATAAAAAATTTAAGTCAAAATTCTTATAAATTATTTTTAAATAATACATAATTTATTTATGATTTTTTTTTTTATAAATAATAAATATATAACAGTGTTAAAATATAAAATACAGATAAATTTAAAAAATTATATTTTAATATTTAATAAAAATTACTATATTTTTACATAAAATAAAAGTTATTAGAATAAAAATATTAATATATTTTAAAAAATTAAGTATATATTATTAGGCGTTCACTAAACATTTGATTTTTTAAAAAAATATATATTTAATGTCTTATGATATTTACGATTACGAAAATGAAGAAGTGTATTTAATTAATAAAATTAAAATAAAAATATTAATTAATTAAATTTAAAATTAAAGTGGTACATGTATGATGATAATGTATGATTTTGAGCCAAGAATTTTAACAACATAAAAAGCAGAAAATAAGCAATAAAGTATATTAAAATAAGAAAATGAATTATCTTTTAAATCAAAGAATAATGAAGTTAAAATAAATTTCAAGAAACAATTTTTTTAATATTTATTTTTTTAAAAAATATAGGATTTGCTAATAAATAAAAATAATTTTTTTTCATACTAATCTGATTGTAAAAAATTTAATGATAACATAAGAAAAAGTGATTAATATTTTCGAATTTAATATCCTAAGGGAAGTGAAAGTGCCAAAGTATTGACAAAAGATTAATATTTTTCGAGCAATGGGAATAGTTTTAAAATTTAATAAAATAATTTTATTAAAACTGGATAAGCAAATTAATAATAATAGAATGATATTTTTTCAAATTTAAATATTTAATATTAATAGTTGTAAAGTTAAAAAATATAATAATCTGAATAAGAAAATTATTAATATTAAAATTTTGTTAAGATGATGAAAAGTATTGATTCAGAATAATAAAGAGCATACTTTAATTAATACTAAAGAGACTAATAATAATAATAAAATAAATATGATAACTGAAGCAAAATGAAAAAGAAAAAAATTATATAAAAGAAATGTTATATATTTATTTTTTTATTATTTTTATAATTAAAAAAAAAGATAAATAATAAAAACTTATTAATAAATTAAATAAAAAATTATTATTTAATTTATAAAAAAATACTTAATAATAAATATATATTTATTATTAAAAAAAATTCTCAAACAAATTTATTTATTCACTCTTGTTCTTCAGCTACTAATTTAGCTTATTTAGATTATCTTAAATTTAAACAATTTTTACATTTTCTTTTACCAGTAGTGGTTTCTTTTTAGATTAAAGCAATAGATTGTTTTTCAACAATAATACTTTTATTAAAAGAAACAGAATCAGCACTCAATCCTTATTCACGATAACATCCAGTACCTCCACACAAAGATAAATTGCTAATTCTACCCGGGAAGTTTTTATAACCGAAACTTTATCCAACCCATAAGTGATAAACTTTAGATGTTTAATGTCTGACATTTTTATAATGTAAAGTTTAAGCATTTTTTCCTTAGAATTAGGTGAAAGCATAAGATTTTTGTAAGGTGTCAGAATAAGCAGAATATACTAAAGCCCATACTCCTTCAGCATCTAAATTAACGTTTTAATAATAGTTGATATTGTTAGAATTTAAGTCATAAGTAGAATAATGCAATGTATTGTTAATTACAAAAAGAGTAAGAGTCCTATCACCATGTTTAGAACAATCTGTAGGAGAAGCATTTGAGTTAAAGTGATAACCAGTTGACCAAGTTTGTCTGTTAGAACCAGCTTAAATTCTAATCCAAGCCTAGATAGAAAATTCTTAGATTCCTTCAAATTTATCTTCATATTTAACATATACTGGTGAAGCTGTACCATCTGTGCTAAATTCTTTGTCATCTAATACTTTATTGACAACTTAAGGATATGTAGGAGGTAAAGGTTTGTTATTCAATTCATTTTCAAACCTTATTCTCTATAACATCCTGAACCACCACATAATCTCAAGTTGTTAATTCTACCAGGGAAGTTTTTATAAGCAAAACTTTATCCGACCCATAAATGATATATTTTAGAAACTTAATGAACAACATTAGGGAAATTCAAAATTGAAGGTTTGCTATTATTAAATTGGTTAAAGACGAAAGCCTTATTGCCGTTATTAGTATAAGCATGATATACTAAAGCCCAAACTCCAACTTATGCATCAGTAAAGTCGATATTTTAATAGAGATTTATATTATTAGTTGCTAAGTCATAAGTAGGGAAGTGAAGCATATTATTTATGATGAAGAAAGATAATGTTCTATCTCCAAGCTTTTCCATATCAGCAGGTTATTCATTAGAGTTGAAATGATAACCTGAAGTCCATAATGTTCTAGCTACATTGGGTGCAATCTTAATCCAACATGTGATTGAGAATTCTTAAACTCCGTTAAATTTATTTTCGAATTTTTAATAAACTGGAGTAGCAGGTCCATTGAAATCAAAATCTTTATCATCTAATATTGAAAATTCTTATTTAGGAATAACTGGAGGAACAGGAGATTTAGCCCAATCACTTTCAAAACCTTACTCTCTATAACATCCAGAACCACCACATAATCTCAAGTTGTTAATTCTACCAGGGAAGTTTTTATAAGCAAAACTTTATCCGACCCATAAATGATATATTTTAGAATCTTAATGAATTACATTAGGGAAATTCAAAATAGAAGGTTTGTTATTTTAGAATTAATTATATACGAAAGCCTTATTTCCGTTATTAGTATAAGCATGATATACTAAAGCCCAAACTCCAACTTATAGATCAGTAAAGTCAATATTTTTATAAAGATTTATATTATTAGTTGCTAAATCATAAGTCGGGAAGTGAAGCATATTATTTATGATGAAGAAAGATAAAGTTCTATCTCCATGCTTTTCCACATCAGCAGGTTATTCATTAGAGTTGAAATGATAACCTGAAGTCCATACATGTTCTAGCTACATTAGGTGCAATCTTAATCCAACATGTGATTGAAAATTCTTAAACTCCGTTAAATTTATTTTCGAATTTTTAATAAACTGGAGTAGCAGGTCCATTGAAATCGAAAATTTTATCATCTAAATATTTAAATTTCTTATTTAGGTATACTGGAGGAACAGGAGATTTATCCAATCATTTTCGAACCCTAACTCTCTATAACATCCAATACCACCACATAATCTCAAGTTGTTAATTCTACCGGGGAAGTTTTTATAAGCGAAACTTTATCCAACCCATAAATGATAGATATTAGAATCTCTATGAATGACATTAGGGAAATTCAAAGTAGAAGGTTTGCTATTGTAGAATTAGTTAAAAACGAAAGCTTTATTTCCGTTATTAGTATAAGCATGATATACTAAAGCCCAAACTCCAACTTATGCATTTGTAAAGTCAATATTTTTATATAGATTAATATTATTAGTTGCTAAGTCATAAGTAGGGAAGTGAAGAGTATTATTGATGACAAAGAAAGATAAAGTTCTATCTCCATGTTTTTCCAAATCGGCAGGTTATTAATTAGAGTTGAAATGATAACCTGAAGTCCATACTGTTCTAGCTACATTAGGTGCAATCTTAATCCAACATGTGATTGAGAATTCTTAAACTCCGTTAAATTTATTTTCGAATTTTTAATAAACTGGAGTAGCAGGTCCATTGAAATCGAAATCTTTATCATCTAATATTGAAAATTCTTACTTAGGTAATAATGGAGGAACAGGTGATTTAGCCCAATCATTTTCGAAACCTTACTCTCTATAACATCCAGAACCACCACATAATCTCAAGTTGTTAATTCTACCAGGGAAGTTTTTATAAGCGAAACTTTATCCAACCCATAAATGATAAAAGAAAGCATCTTTATGATAAATATTATTAAATCTTAAAACATCAGGTTCTCTGTTTTGGAATTGAGTATAAACGAAAGCTTTGCTTCCTTTATCTGTATATCCATGATAGATTAAAGCCCATGATCCTACATTAAATTCTTAAATATTAATATTTTAGTTAACATTAGGATTATTAGTTTTGACATCATAAGTAGGGAAATGAAGTATATTATTAATAATAAAGAAAGCTAAAGTTCTATCCCCTAGTTTAGCGAAATCAGTAGGAACAACATTAGAGTTGAAATGATAACCTGTAGCCCATGTGGGTCTAGCTAGGTTAGGAGTAATTTTAATCCATGTTGTAATAGCGAATTCTTAATTTCCTGGGAACTTATTTTCGAATTTCTAATAGACGGGAGAAGCAGCACCATTATAATCGTAATCTTTTTCAGTAACAATCTATACTTCTTGTCTCTGTATAACAATATCAGCAGGAGCATTTTCCCAGGCTTTTTCTAATCCAAGTTCTCTGTAACATCCATTTCCTCCACATAAGTTCAAACCGACGATTCTTCCTGGGAAATTTCTATAATTGAAACTTTAACCAACCCATAAGTGGAAAAGAGTAGAAGTTCTATGAGTAATAGAGTCGAAATTCAAAACTTTAGGTTATTATCCAGCAAATTGTGTATGGACATAAGCTTTATAAAGCATATCACTGTAACTATGTTAAATATAAAGCCATTATCCTTCATTATCATTATTGAAATCAATATTTTTGTTAATATTGTTATTTTTAGAAGTTAAATCATAAGTACAGAAATGCAAAATATTATTAATTATGAAGAAAGCGAGAGTTCTGTCACCAGGTTAAGCAAAATCTTAAGGAGTGGTGTTATCATTGAAGTGATAACCAGTAGACCATGCAGCTCTATTGGAACCTCTATTAATTCTAAACCAACCAGAAATTGAGAATTCTTAAACTCCATTGTATTCATTTTCGAATCTTTTATAAACAGGGACTTTTTTATCATCATCAACATTGAATTCTTAACTTTCGACAACTAAAAAGTTCTTTTAGGGAATGACAATTTCTTTAGCAGGATTTAAACTTATGATTTTCTAAATTTTTTCAACATTTTCTTAATAACAGTTATTTCCACCACATAATGAAAGATTTTGTATTCTTCCTGGGAAATTCTTATAATTGAAACTTTGACCGACATACAATCTATAAATAAATGAGACTTAATGAGTTACATTTTCAATAGTAAATACCCCAGGTTTTTAATTGTTCATAAATTAGGTATATAAGTATACTTTTTGCATAGCAGGAGAATAACTATGATATACAAAACACCATTGTCCTTCATTATTAGCTGTGAATTCAATTTCTTTATATAAATTGTTATTTTTAGTAGTCAAGTCATAAGTAGGGAAGTGTAATCTATTATTAATTATGAAGAAAGCTAAGTTTCTATCACCGGGTTTAGCATAATCTTCAGGTTTTTCATTTTAATTGAAATGATAACCTGTCGACCAGTTAGATCTGTTTGCTTTAGGTGTTAATTTAATCCATCCTTAGATTGAGAATTCTAAAATTCCATTGAATTAATTTTAATAGGTTTTTAATTCTTATTAGCTCTTGGTTTCGTCTACATTGAATTTTTTATCTTCGACAACTACTTAATTAATGAATACATTGTTATATTCAAATTTTAGGTAGTGTTTACTTATGTTCCTTCATCATCTTCATCCCATTCGCTAATCTCTGACACAACGTTTAATTAGCCTCCTCCACTTGTTGTACCTGTTGTAGTAGTAGTTGTGCCTGTTGTAGTAGTAGTTGTTACTGTTTATCCATTTTAGTTTGTGGTTGTAGTAGTGCTGGTATTAGATCCTGGTTGGAAATCAGTTGGGGGAAGGTCATCATCTTATATAATATCATTATCTCCTCTGTAGTTTACTCTATAAACATAGACTTTTTCTTCAGATTAAGTAATTTATCCAGTATGCAAACTAGCAGGGTCATTTTTAATTGCATTTAGTAAAAATAATATGGTTAATAATACCAATATTCTTTTCATTTTTTTTTTTTCTTGTTTTTTTGTTTTTTTTTATTATTTTATTTTTATTTTATGAGGTTTTTATTTTTAGATTTTATAGATTTTATAGCAAATTATAATGCTTTTTGCGTTTTTAATTTAGAAAAAAAAAGAGCGTTTTTAAAATATATATAATTTTGTATTTTTTTTTAATAACTATATTGATACACAACATTTTTTTAATTTTACATTGATTATAAAAAAGTTTACTAAAAAAATAAAATTGGGTTATTTATTTAATTTATTTATGTTATTAGTAAGCTTTCTTATTTTCTAAATAATTTAAATACAGTTTGTATTTACAAATTAATATAAATCATTAATATATATTTGTTTTATTTAATTATAAATTTTATAAAAATTAAAAATAAATCTTATTTACTTTTTTTAAATTTTAAGAATTACTTTTATTTTTTATATTTTGATTTATGAAGTAAATTAAAAAATTATAAAAACGTAAACTAACTAAGAATTTATTTTTAAAAAACGCAAAAATACTGAGTAAATAAATATATTTATAAACTAAACCATAATGAAAATTTATCTTTAATAAAATATTACGAATAATATAAAAAGCATGATTTATTTTTTTAATTATAATTTACAATAAAAATATTTCTTTAATTAATTTATAATATTTTAAAAATATAATATCTTTTATAATTGTATATGTTTACTATAAAACATAAATAATATTAAAAAATTCAAAACATCAAATATTTTAAAATTTTTTAATTTAATTTAATTATTTATATTTATATTTGTATTTTAATTTTTAATTAAAAATTATATAAGATATAAAAATATTATATAATTTTAAAGAAATTAATACACTTAAAATAATTTTCAATCTTTTTTTCTTTATTCTTTATTCTTTTTTCTTTTTTTTTTTCTTAAGAAAATAATATTTGGAAACATATTAATAATTTATATATTTTCGATTCTTAATCTAATATAAATTATATTAAGTTAATGCTTTAAAAATTTTATTCTTTTTTTTATATTAAATTAAAAAAAATGAAAAATATAATATAATTATCTTAATAATTATCAAATGAATATATTTAACTTACAAAAACAAATTAAAATATATTGAAGTTAAAAGAATTAAAACTATTTTCTTTACTTCATTATAATTTAAATAATTTAGATATATTAAAAACATTTAAATTTACACAAAAACATTTTTAATATCAAAATATTGGGTACTCCAAAATACACGAAGAATAAGGTTTCAATATTTGTTTGTTTTACATTCCGAAATTCGCATATATGCCTTTACATGATCATCCAAACATGTTTGTTTTTTGCAAACCTATATTAGGAAAAGCAAAAAAAACAATTTTTCGACTAAATAATGAAAATGACAGACAAAAATAATTACAATATTAAAAAAAATTATGGAAAAATAATTTCTAGGACATATAAGAAGAATAGACAGTTGAAGCATAAATATGCGTTTAAAAATTAGTTTAATAAAATGATGAATGTGATATTATTGAACCTATTTAAAATAACTTACATGAAATTGTTTCTATTGAAAACTTTTGCTTTTTAGATATTTTAATACCTAATTATAATGAAGTCGAAGGAAGATTTTGTAATTTTTATCATCCAAAATAGGTCTTAGATGAATAAAATAAAATCATTAAATTTAAAATATATCCTGTTCCGATGAATGAATATAATGTTATTGAAGTAGAATCACCTTTAATATGAGATCTGTTTGAAAAAGAAAAAAAAATATATAATATAAAAAATGTTTTATTATTTAAATTGTTTATTATCTGTGAATAATATTAATTTTTAATATTTTTTTAAGAAAAATTAATCTTGAAATATTTAAATAAGAAAAACATTTCAATAATATTAAAATAAATATTAATTTCGTTTAAAATAATTTTGAAAAAAATTTTTAGACAATAAATTGGCTTAAAATTATTAATATTGAATAAAAATAAACTGTTTCTTTAAATTTTATAGAATTCTTAAAATATTATAAATTTTTGTTAGCCTTTTAATATAATTTTTTTAGTTTTAATATTATAATTATATGTTTTTAGATTTTAAATAAGTTTATTAAAATATTATTATTTTACTTTATATACATTTAATATTTTTATTTTTAATTTGATAGTTCAATTTATATTTGTTTATTATAGAAATTTTTTTTACCTATTTTTTTTTTTTATTAATAAATAAATAATTGATTTATAAATATTAATACTAATATTCATTTAATTAATCTCTAAATGCCAATAAGTATTTACAGAAAATAATATTCTTTTAATTAAAATTACCTATAGCTGCTGCTGCAATTAATTTTTTAGGTTCAAAAGGACCTAAAAATATAAATCCTCTATTAAATCCATCTTTCATTTATATCATATTTTCTTCAAATTTAGTTACATAAACTATTAAATATTAATTTGTATTATATATAAAAACAAAAAATATTTTACAAGCATCTTGTAGATGACAAAAATACTCCTTTTTAAATTTTGTTTCTTTATTTTGTAATTTTTCATATATATCTAACAATGTGTTAGTGGATATTTGATTTGATTAGAAAACATCATCATGCAAAATAACAAAAGGAGGTCTATAAGTAAATTTTATTTCTTTCTATAAATTCTATAATTTAAAAGTAAATAAAAAATTTTAAAATATTTTTTTTAAGAACTTTTGGTAACAATTTTAAAAAATCAGTTTTTAATGGAGGATAGAATTTCAAAAACTCTTCGTAAGTAAGTTCTAATTCCATTTTATTTTTTTAAATAAATTAAATAATTAGAATAATTAAAATTAAGAAAAGATATATTTTTTTAATAAAAAAAAGTAATAATTAATATTTTTTTTATTAAAAAAAAAAATTAAAATAAAAAATAAAAATAAATATAAATATAAATATATATATATTATTATATATATATATATATATATGTATATATATATCTATATATATTTATTTAGATTAAATAAAAATAAATTATATAATTTAAAAAAATAAAAAACTCACCATAATTTTCCTTTGATGCCCATAATATATGCAGTTATAAATCCAGCAGAATTAGGAAATTTTTTATTAATAGCTTTTTTTATAGTATAATAATCATTAACCGTGATTTTCCCATCTCTGTCTGTATCAGCTACTATTTTAATATCTTCCATATCTAATTTTCCATCTTAATTTTAATCAAGTAAAATAACAGCATCATTAGTCGTAAGTTTACCATCACCATCTTGATCTAATTTTTCTACAATATCTTTTTCAATCTTTGACCAATTTACTGAAATATAGCCTTTATGAGATAAATATTAAAGAAAGCAAAATGCACCTCCTGTTATTAATATTGCATACTTTCTAACTTCTCTACTTGCATAACCTGCTAGATAACCGAAAATTAATCCTGCAGTTACTTCTTTTCCTATTTATATTTATTATTAAGCTTATTTCATTTTATTATTTTTATGTGTTTTTATTGCAACCTTCTAATTTTTTTCAATATTTCTATTTTCCATTTTTTTTTTATTCATTTAATAAATAATATTTATTAAGTTTATTTTATTTCATGTAAATAATAATTTATATTTATCTTCTTTTTATATTATTAAAAAATAATAAATTAGTTTAAATTAAAGAATTTGTAATAATTATGAAAATCAAGTGTATTTCAATAAAAATAATAAAGCATAAAAAATACAAAAAAAAGCATAAAAATAAATTTATTCTTAAATATACAACCTCTCGATTGAATTAGTTTGCAATTGTATCTCTTAACCAATAAACTGTATCCTAAGTTTTATAAAATCTATATATACATTATCAATAGCAATATATTCATTAATATGCATATATAGCCTATATAAATAATATATAATATTTCAACTGCTTTTCATTTATAATAATTCCATTATTGACAGCATTTTTATAAAATTTTATAATATATAATTAATTTATTTATATATAACATTTACTTACTTTTTATTAATCTATATATACAAGTAATAAAATTTAGTTTTATTTATTTATCGTTTTCTTTATTATGTTTTAAAACCTCCTCTAATTAATAAAAGAAGAATTTATTTCTAATAAAACAAGTTAAAATATTATTGTTTCTTCTATATTTATGAGTCTAATATTAATTCTAATGATTGTATTCGTATTAAATTTATTAGAATAAGATTGCAACGAAAATGGTTTTTGTTTTTATTTAAAAAATAAAAATATTATTTGGTAGTATAAAATAATTTTAATAAATAAGGAAATAAATTAACACTATAATCATTTATATATGATATTTAATCAAATAAGAAAACCATGTTTTTCATTACCAAACTAAATAAGCGCTTTGCTTTTACAATTGTTTAAGTTATTCCCTTGCTTATTTTTTTTTTTATATTATTATTAACCTTTATTTTTACAAAAAATAATAGAGTATAGTATATTAAAATTTTAGACCTGAATTCTAAAAGAAAATATAAATTCGAAAAAATGTTAATAAGCAGAAAGTTTTAAGTCCGAATAAAATTAAAAAATTAAAATAAGAAGATAAACAAGTTAATTAAATAATTTAACATTATCAAACAAAATAAACTTAAAAATTAAAAACTCCATATAGATGATTTGTTTATACTTTTAGTAGGATATACAAACGAAACTTATTAATTAAAAAACTATTAATTTATTGATATAATTAATATTATAATCTAATGTATATAATTATTTTAATAAAATATTTAACTTTTTGTTTTATATTAATTTTAATCATAAAATAAAATATAATTTCCTTATAAAAAAAAATATAAAGATAATTAATAATCTTATTTTTAGAATAAATGAAATTGAAACAATAGCGAAATCATTATTAAGATTATTAAGGCTATTATTATTAGTTATACATTTAATCAATAACATTTTAGAAATATTTTTTGCATTCGTTTCTTTTAATTTTTAATGTATTAGTCATACATTCGATTTTCTGGAAAGACTCATGATTTAAATGAATACTTTTAGCCTATTCAAACGAATGAAGCCCTTCTTTTTTTCCCAAATTAATCATATTCTTAAAAATAGCCTAACAAATCTCCTAATTAGCGCACATTTCTTTAATATTGAATTCGATATTTCTCTTCTTTCCTTCCCTCTTTAAATAATCTATATTAGGCACAACAATAGCTACTAATGTAGATTACAATGAATCTCCATAAACGAAAACTTCTTCTACTCCATCAGCTCTTAAATAGATATTTTCTATTTTATCCGGTGCAATATATTCACCTTGACTTAATTTGAAGATGTTTTTTTTCCTATCAATTATACTGATACATCCTTTTTCTATATTTAAACAACCTACGTCTCCACTCTTAATCCACCCTTCCTAATCTAATATTTCGTCTGTCTTTTCCTTTTCTTTATAATAACCAGAAAATACTCCGTTACCCCTAATAAATATTTCTCCTCTGGGTGCAAGATTCCCTTATTTGTCCAAATCACTTGATTTATATCCCATTTCTGGTATGTCTACTAGTTTAAATTCCATATGGGATCTAGTACCTCCTACATGTCCTATATCTCCATCTTCTAAGTGTGTACTAAATGATGCTCCTGTAGTTTCTGTTTACCCGTATCCTTCTAATATTGGAATACTAAATACGGCTTTTAAATATACTAAAACATCTGTACTTATAGGAGCTCCTCCTACTATTGCAAATTTAACGTTTCCTCCTAAAGCTATATATTTGTTTTAATAAAAATATATTTTAATTATATTTTTTTTTAAAAAAAATACCTTTTTTAACTTTATTAAAAATTAAGAAGTCCCATAAGAAATGTGTATATTTTCCTCTTTTAGCATTATAGATTTTCCATTTTAATGCAAAATTTAAAATATAAGACAAAAACCCTTTTTTTATTTCAAACTCCGATCTAATAATATCATAAAATTTATTATATACCCTAGGAACGCCAGAAAATACAGTAGGTTTAATTAATTCTAAATCATTTTTAATTTTTCTAATATCTCCAGAATAAAAGGCAATTTAAGCACCAAAATAAATCATAGTAGATACTGAAATTCTTTCTAAAATATGCGGCAAAGGTAAATAGGACATAAACACATCTCCGTTTTAAAAATTCTCCTCTGTTGCAATCGCAATAACAGAAACAAAATTTTAATGATTAATTAAAGCTCCTTTAGGGGTTCCTGTAGTACCAGAAGTGTAAGAAAAAGTCACTATATCATTAGTTTTAACTTATTTATATTCTAAATGATCTACAGGGGTTAGTAAATCTGAAAATCTAATAATAACAAGGCCTAATTCTTATAATTATTAAATTTTTTCTTAAGAAATATCATCAATAATAACTACTTAATTCAAATTATGTGTATTTAGAGTCTTAAGAAGCACATCTACACCTTCTTCTGAGCAAAAAATGGTCTCAAGTCCAGTTTATTCTAGAATATAAGATGTTGATTATGGTCCTAAAGTATCATAAAAAGGAACCATAGTTTTATTATAAAGGAAATTCGAATACTCTAAAAGGAGCCATTCTTCCCTGTTTTTGGAAAAAATTCCCACTAATTCCATTTTTATACCCTCATGCTCTTCTGAAACTGTAAATAAACTTTTTTATTCTATATGAGTACCTATAATTTCCGCGAGTTTTTTACATTCTTGATAAGAACGCCATTATACTTTATCTTATTCTATTCTCCCCAATAAAGGACAGTTCTTATATTTTTTCACGGCTTCTAAAAATATATCTTACATAGTAAAACATATTCCGTCAGGTGAGTTTTTTAAAGATTCAAATGATGATTAGGTTCTAAAAACTGCAGTTTCACCATCTTTTGGGTTTGTGGTGGGTTTAGTGTATATGTAATGCTTTTCTTTATTTGGGGCCCCTGTTAATATATGTTGGACGGCTAGTATTGGAAAGGTTATCATTTTTTTTTTAATTATTATTGTTTTTTTTCTTTAAAATATATGTATATATATATATATAATATTTTTTATTTATTTGTAATATTATTTTGTTTCATATCTTTTAAATTATTAATAAAAATACATAATATTTAGTTCTGTAAAAAATTTAATACGTAATTAAATATTTGTTTTTAAATTAATATAAATAATGAAATACTAAAAAATATAAATATATTAATAAAATATTAAATACATTAAAAAATAATATTTTTTTGTAAATAAAACTTTAAAAATATAAGAAATGCCATTTTAAACGATTTTTACTATTAAGTATTAAGTTTTTTTCTAACTTTAAAATTAATATATATAAAAACAATATTATTAAGAAATTAACATTTTTATAAAAAAATCAAAATTTCTTATTTATATATAAATTTTATTTAATATAATTTAAATTATAATTTATTTTTTTAAAATATTTAAATTATATTTATTCAAATAAAAATGCATCCAAATTCAAATATGATAAGTGTTATAAAATCTGAACTTAATTCAAATAGAAGACCTTTAATTTTATTATAAATAATAAGAGGTTAAATACTTTTAAGTTTTTTAAAAAACTTTTTCATATTTTAATTTTTATATTCTATATATTCTCAATTTACTTAATACATTTAAACTTTGTTCAATTAACTATGTAATTAAATATAAACCATATTTTAATTTTGCCCTTTCTAAATAAGATCAATAATAGGTTAAAACAAAAAAAATCACAAATACATTTTTTTTAATTTTATAAAATCTTTTTCTTTTTATTTTATAATATAGGTACTCCTATTTTAGTTTTACTAACTATCTATTTTTTATTTAGATAATCTTTCTTTTTAAATGAAAATTATTAGCAATTTCATATTATTTTATATATATTTACAATGGTTATGTTCACATTGACTTATTTAATAGTTCCTGGTTATTTTGATTCTTAGGAAGATAAGTAATAAATATAATTAGATTTAGCTAAAAAACTAGAGTTATAAGATAATCATAAAATTTTATGTTAGTAATGTCAATTACCTAAATTAATAAGGTCTAAACACTGTTAAAGTTGTTAAAAGTAAATTATATAAAATTATATATAATTATATAAATATAAAATATCCAGATGTATAGCTAAATTTGAATTTCATTCATAAGTAATAGGAAAATGTATAGGAGCTGGAAATTTGCCTTATTATTTTTTTTTTTGTATAAGCTTAAATATTCTTTTAATATTTTAGTAACTTTTTAATATTTATTATTTAACTACAATATTTATTATTAGATTATATTTGATGATAAATGTTTAACTCTATAATAATTATATTATTTAAATATTTTTTTAGATAAGAATTATAATACATTTATCTTTATAAATATGTGAAAATACAATTTTAGTAAATGAACTTAATTTATTATTAATAAAATAACATTTTAATTCTATATATAAAACAAAAAAAAATTAGATATCACACAATCTTACATTTTTCGAATCAGAAAATTATAGAAAACTAACTTATTTATGGAGAAGTTAACTAAAAGATTATTATAACCCTTTCGATAAAGGATATTTAGTGAACATTTTTGAGTTTATGATTGTGATTTCATTAAGAAGAAAAAAATAAATATAAAATAATGAACATAAAGCAATACCTTAAGAGGAAACTTAAAATTTAGAATAAAGCTAAACTAATTTAAAAATAGAAAATGATATAAAACAAAATATATTTTTAGATGATAATTAATTACAAAATGAAAAATATATAAATTGGTTAAATCAAAAATATTATACTATAATAGATATTCCAAACTGTCCTGTAAGAAAATTTGCATAAATACAAATATAATAATAATTAAAAGCTAAAAATAATCATTTATTTACACCTTAAGAAGAATAGTAATTAAAATTAAAATAAGAATAATTATAAAATGAAATGAAAGAATAAATTAATACAAGATAATAAGATGCGATTAATTAATAGAAAGAATATCTAAAGAAAAATCCTGAAATTGCAAAGAAAATGCAATAATAAATGAAAGAAGATATTATTTAATACAGAAAATCTTAAGCTACAGATGTAAATCCGTTCGAGTTTTAAAAAAGAATAGAATAAAATTATATTTTAATGTTTGGATAAGAAGAATATAATAAAGTAATGTAATAATGCTTATAACTTTAGGAAAAAAATTTGAAATAGAAATAAAAAAATAAATAGATATTCCTTAAAATGAAACTAAAAAATAAGAAAATAAAATTTAATAATAATATTAACCTTAAAAAAACCAAAATATAAATATGATTCATTAATAAAATTAATAATATGTATGATTTTTTATAAAATATTATATAAATGATATTTAAATGAAAAAAATATTAAAATATAAAAAATATATATATAATAAATTAATATATATAGATATAAATACATATATATTATTTAATTATTTTTATTTTTTGACTTGAAAATTTATATTATATTTTTTTTAATACATATTAATTTAAATATTTATACAATATATAATTAAAATTATTATTTAAGTTGATAAAAGTTAAAAGTTTTAAATATAAAAATATATATAATTATTAAAAAATATATATATTAAAATTATGTCTTAAAGTTTTAGAATTAATTTATTTTTTTATTATTATTAAATATATATATTATTTTTACAATATTTTTATTTATTTTTTTATTTTATTTAATTTTTTTTTTAAAATATTATAATATTAATAAAAATCTTAAAATATTAATTTAATTTTTTTTATTTTAATATAAATATACATTATATAACACAAAAATTTTTATTTATCGTCATATTAATAAGTAAAAATATTAAACAAAATAATTTATAATTTATATATCATATTATTATATTTAAATTAAAAAAAAAATTATTAAATATTTAAATTTTTGTTATAAAAGATAAAAATAAATAAAAAATTATAAATTTTTATAATAATTAATTTTTTTTATTTCTTATTTAAATTTTTTTTTTTATTAATATAAATTTGTAAAATAATTTATGTTATATATAAAAAATATAAAATTTTATTAATATGAAATCAAATAATTAATAACAATAATATTATATTACTGAAAATATTATTTTTTAAGATGAAAATAATAACAATGAATTAAATTAAATAAAATAAAATTAATCTATATTATTGATAAGTAAATTTTAAAATCATTTATTTTTTTATAGATTTTTTATAATAAAAAGAAATAGAACAAAGCTAAAATGATTAATTAATGAATAATATAAATTAGACAAATAATAAAGATAATTTAAAATGGAGTATATTTGAGTAAAAACTAAAAGATCAAAATAAATAATATAATTAAGGACTATTAAATAAAAGTATAAATGTAAACTAAAAACATATATATATATATTAATATATATTTATATATTTATATTTATATTTATATTATTTTTTTTTTTTTTATTATTTTTAAAAGGAAATTGAATTTTATTAATAATAAATATAACAGGTATCTACATAATAATAATATTTTATTTCATAATTAGAAAAACACAAAAATAAAGAAGATTATTATGAAATATAATTCTAAAATTTAAACCCAAACTATGATTCATTACAATTATCTAATACTAATTTTTTATAAAAGAGTGAATGTGATATTGATATAATTTAAGATTGTAATAATAAATAATAGCAAAGTTATTATAATTAGATTTTGGAAGAATAAAGTTAATATTTTTAAAAGTAAATATCTTAATTGCATTAATTTTATAAATAATAAAATGATTATAATTTAAATTAGTATACTAATTGTTTATTAGAATAAAATAATAAATTAATTTTTCAAAATAAGATACTTTAAAATAAAATTTAAAACTTAAAAGAAAAAATTAAAATTATTAAATTACAAATTAAAAATTAAAGAATGATATTTTGAATTATACTACCTAAATAAATGACATTAAAAATGCTTATTTCATATAAGATGAATAAAAAGATTTAAAAATAAAATAATTAGAAGAAAATAATGCTAATTATATAAAAGAAAACTAATAATAAAGTTGTTTAATTCACTATTTATAATAATAAATAATATAATATTAAGGATAAATATAATTATAGGAAGAAAATATAACTAAACTATAACTTTAAGATATAAAAATTATTTAATAAGGTTAATTAATAAATTAACTAAATTAAGAAATTAAAATTTTAGAATTAAAGTTGAATGAAAAGAAAAGTATAAAAAAATAAAAAAAAAATGATTAAAACGAAATTAATATTTTAAATAATGACAATTTTTTAGAAAATTTTTAAGCTTAAAATTTAAATTAATTGGAAGCTTAGGGTAAATAAAAAGATTAACTTATTTAAAATTTATAAATAGAAAATTAAGGTTTTATTCAATAAATTTAAGAATATTAGGTTTAAATAAACGAATTTAAAGAAAATAAATTTGCATAAATATAAGATTCTGATAATTATTTTAGTAAATAAATTTCTTATTATTAATTATAAATTTAAGAGCAAAATGATATTATTAAATAATTAAATTAATAAATTAATTAAAATAAGAAATAATTGATAATTAAGATTATAAAATTTATATAATTATAAAATAAATATGATGAGAATAATTAAAAATTAAAAGTTTAATAGAATTAATTAAAAAACGATTAATATTAAAATTAGAAAGAAAAATAATAAAATTAATTATAGGAAGAAAAAATAGATCAAATTTTATATATAATAAATTAAAAATTTGGAATTTAAAATTAAAATT